GCCCTCTAACTGGGTGAGAAGTCGCCTGAAGGCAGATAAAGTAAGTACAAACTGTAATGTTGAGCATTACAAAAAAGGACAAATTACAGTGGTTTAATAATATTGGTGAATGAAGAATAAGACTTAGCGACCAAAGATGTCAAATCTTATGGAAATTCATGTGCCGATTCCAAATAGTAGTTAACTTTTGTCTTTCACGTCAGGCTTTTGCACAATTCGCATATTTAAGCAATTTCAGGTATTCTTGATTTTGTCAGGGGAGGTAAAAATAACAGACTCTATAAAACAAAGGCCGTAACTTTCATTCTTTCCAAAAAAAGTAACTAACGAAGTGTGATATATTTTCATAATATCCAGTATCACATATTTGTAATGAAATTGTTTTAAAGTTTAGACTTGTTTCATTTCTACAGTCAATTGTTAATATAAATAATGATAAAAATAAAGTAATCTAAAATTTGAAAGAATGAAAAAAAAAACTAAACTGTTTTTAAATTGTGCGATAAAGTGACTAAGAAACTTCAGAGGGAAATAATCATTTGATTTATTCAAGCTAATGTAAGTGGTTTCCACTGTTTTGATGCGTCAGTTTGAGAATTAATTTATTGAATTTAGTGCCCACTGTTCACCCACAGTGATTTTCTGTTGTGCTGCTATGTGCTAATTAAGTTGAAAGAGGACATTTTAGTTGGATCTGACATTTAAAAAGTCACACGTGATGATACATTAGTACAGATGATGATTTCATTCGAGGAAAAGATGTTCCTTAATGAACAGAACGTAACTGCATACAATTGTGTTTTTTGATACTCATACGAGTGAGATTTTAGGGGGTTTATGTTTAAAAGAATCAAAGAGAAAAACCCCCAAAGCATACGACATTTCGTATAAAAAATTCTGATCTTATAGAGAAAAATCTGATAAAGATTCTAATCCTTCCACCAAAATTCCATATCAAAATCATACTCACATGCCTAAGCCCAAAAAGTGAGTGAGGTTTTAGGGGTTTATGTGTAAATGAATCAAAGGGGAGAAGCAAAAAATTGCGACCCATTGTACTAAATTTTTAGACCTGATCAAGAAAATCTGACACAGGATTCAGATTCTACCACTCAAGTTCCATACAAAAATCATTTTCACATGCCTCAGCCCAAAAATTTTCAGAATTTTATGGACCAGAGTAATCATTTATAAATTTAGCGAGAAACATCAGGCCTGATACTGCATGTCACAATGGATAAAATTCATAACATATACACTAGAGACAGTCTACAAATAAGTTTGCTTCAAATTCAAGTTCAATATTTAGAACAAAAATATTCTGAACTGTTGAGTTAACAGAATATTGGACAGAAAAACAAAAATCAAAAACATTTTGCAAAAAAATTCCCTTTCACAAATAATTTTAAAAAAACACTTTCACTTTCGTTTGTTTCAATACACACTGGGTCAAATACACTGATGCAAAAAGTTGAGTTTTCAGTAAAGCGTCGGTATGCAAAATAATAATAATAATAATAATAATAATAATAAATAGCATAATTTGTAGACAGTACAGTGCATACCCCCGCTCAACTCAAAAGCAAGCTCTTACTGAGCACTTACTGTCTCAGGGCTCCCTGGGGATCTGCCAGATCAACCTTGGCCTCAGGTCCCAGCAGCTTCTCCAAGTGCAGGTCTGCCAGCTGGTGCTGCAGGTACTCCAACTGTTTCCCCAGCGCCACAGGGGATAGGGAGTCGCCCGCATCTGTTTGTTGGACTGAATCCTAAGGGAGTGATAAATTTGAGATTTGAACATAATAATAATAATAATATTAATAATAATAACAATAATAATAATAAAAATAATGATAATATATAGCATTATATAGCGCACATCCCCACTCGACAGCAAGCTGTATGCGCTTTACACACTATATTATCACGCCAGCAGACCACAGAACACTCAGAAACAATGTCAGCTTCCCAGAAAGCATACAAAGCAAACAGCTGATTAAGCGCTCAAAGACTAACAAACTGACAAGATTTTTCACTTAAGTACACTGTACTCTTTCCACAGTATCAAATTACCATCAGGCAGCTGGAGTTGAAAAAAAGGAAAACAACCTTCTGGTTTTTTGCATGCCAACAAGATAACAACAAAAAGATCTGGAGCGACAGCAGTGACGGCAACAAATATATGTGAATCTCTCTCAAAGGCAGAAAAGCCTGGTGAGCTCGAATTGTGCTGTAAAAACTTCAGGTTCTGTTATAAGTAGTGTACCATGAAACAGTACTGTTCTTTTAGTAATAGATATCTTCATTGTTGCAAAAAAGATATTTAACTCTATTTAACTTGCTTTACAAGGTATGAAAATAACTTAATAGGCTCCCAGTTTTCCTCTGACAGTAACAATGACGTCCGTCTTTCCCCTAACCATAGCGTTGAAGAGCCGAGAAAGGAAGAACTGACTGAAGGTTTTTTCATTATCTTTATAAAGGCATTTGAACAACTCAAGCAGAATAGGTGTCTCTACAGGACCCCCTACCCCTCTTTAGCGTGTAACACAGCTTGCCATAATTGAACAAGAATAAGTCTATTTCTTCAATCACCTCCAGCTTTCTGCTGAAAAGATGCATCCCACTCACCTTATGTTGACAGTTGACCTTAGAGGGCTGGGTCAAAGCAGACAAACTCCAAATGGATCTAAATGAAGTTTATTGGGGAAGGGCACAAAACATTTCCACTCAATACAGCAACATTCGACTACATCCTGCTATGGCAAAAAGAATTTATTACTAAGCATGAAAAATAAAAGAATAGAACTGACCTTGATTTTGCCCACTTCTTCGGCTAATTCCCTCATCTCATGCTGCAGTCGCTGATACTTCTGCTGTGCAGTCTCTTTCTTGTCACCTTGTCCCAGCTGTGCAAAGTAATAAAATCAATTATTCATTTTTCAGTTATAAAGATATCCTGGATGACAAAAATGAATTATTTTTTTTTAAAGAAAAGCCTTACTTCTAAAAGCAGTGAACTCCATGTATCACTAAACACTTATTATTCTGAAAGCATTAGTAATATACAGCTTTTTTCCAAAATCATTTAACCAAATTAATACAGCCAAACCAGACTTACATATTCTCATAACTATGATCAACTTTTTAAAAAAAATCAATACTCATTATATTTGACATGGTAGAAGTATTTCCAAATTTCATTTCTCAAATCATTAATATTGACAGACACAGAGGTCTGAAAAATTAAAGTAATACACTTACCAATTCATACTCTGTCTGATCAGCATAGTATCCTATGGTCCTAGACTTGCTTACACTATCTGAAAAATCTGTGGAATACATCATCGTGTTATACTTTGGGCATTTCACATGCTATGATTCACTCAAGAAAAACATTCTAAAAGCAAATGTAGACCTGCCAACCCCTCGACAACCAATATTACAAGTTTTTCTCACCAAATCCCAAGAAGATTAAGATTACATTATGAAGCGACAATCGCAAATAAATGTGTGCATCACAAATATATGTGTCATGACGCGGTGGAATCAGGCGCTCGTCGATTTTTGGGCCTGTAGAGTTATTGGTATCATCTTAAAGCTTGTTTATTAAATCTTTCTTTTGATGAAAAAAAATATTTATCTATAGAAGCCTAGAAACTTGCGATTAAAAGAGGTGGGGGTCACCTGGTTTCAGTAAGACAAAAAAAAGGAGAAGAAAAAAAGATAAAAATTGCCAAACGGGAAAATTGTGAGTATCTTCAATTCAATTATTTTGATGAGTGCCTGATTTCACCACGATACCTCACATATGCAAATAAATGAAAATATTAATGAGTATTTTTACATCAGTCACAATAAATAATGCAAATATGGGAAACAAACCTGTTTTTTTTATGTCACTTGCATATGACTTGTAAACAGAATTCAAGAAAAAACAAGATTTTATGCAAATCTCACAAGGGTTCTCCGGTAGGCAATAAAAGATTAGAGAACTCTGATTTTTCGGAGTAACTGGTAGGTTTGCAAAGGTAGCAGGCAAGAGAGGAAGAGGGAGACAACAAGACACAGAAACCTGGCTTGAAACCAAAAAAATTCAGGCAGGCAGAAGGTCAAGAGACAGGGTTTTATTGCAGAAGCTTAAAAGAAAAAGAAGGAAAAGAAGACAACAATACACATTTTAGTAGTCAAGCATAAATGTCACCCTACTTCTAAATATCAGGCCAACTGCAAAAATTTTGTCTAATAATTCAAAGCTTCTCAGATTTCAATTAGTGTTTTTAACAAAGTATACTTGAGATTTTGATTACACTTTTTCCTTGAAGTTTAAAGGATAATATTTCATAAAGGAAGGCTTTAAACCTTTTTGCAAAGGAAATGAACAGGGACGCGAGCTATTAAATATATCAGAGAGTAAATAGACTAAGAGCACTGTGAAGCTTTTGTACAGAAATCGTCTACCACAAGCATTTACATATTTTATAAATAACATTATATCGCGCAAAACTCTTATTCTCTGAGTGCAGTGTTTCCAAAAATTTGAAATGAAAAATGTTACAATCACAATACCTTCTATATGTGCAATATGAAAACAATCATTTAATGAGGAATCAAAATCAATTGCAAACAAATGTGTTCAATTCATGATACACTGTGATAACTTGGGAAAAGAAAAGATATGGAAAGACCAACCTGTTTTACCAAGGTCAACTCCTTTGCCCTTGAAAACTTTAAATGCTGCATCAGTGCTTACTGAGATGGGCTCAACACTTTGACTGGACAATTCCTCCTGAGAATAATCAAAATAAAATTTTTCATCATGACATTTCAAAGACTTACTAGAATAGATTTATACAAATCATAAGAGCTTTCTTTAAAAATTACTTTTTGTGTTTTTTGATCTGTTAACCTCCTTGCCTAGGAACTCTCAAGATACTGATCTCTGATCTCAGTTGTCAAGATGAAACATAAACATGAATCACCTAATGCAGCAGCTCATTGTTATTGACACGCTTATTATATTAGGGCTTTGTATTGCAATTTATATAATATTCTAGCTGACACACAGAGTCAGTGAAATGTTCTCAACATGGGAGTAATGTGATCCCTCTTCTTTTTTTTGTTAAAAGTACAAGCCTAGCAGCAAGATTTAGAAAATGCTGTAATTTGTAAAGAATGATATTTGATCCGTTAGCTAGTATGGCATTGCAAAAATTGATGCAAAAAGCTCGTTCATTCAAAAACATACACACATGTCCAATATCTGACATGTGAGAGCAAAAACACTGCTTTTCGATCCATGCCTATATATATAATAAAAACTTGGGAAAATAAATCCTAAAAACCTAAGACATTCTCAAACAGACTTTTAAAACCCTCTGTATTGCAAGCAAATGCTCAAACTCAGGGGTCTAAAACTCAAAATACCTAGGGATAACTGAGGGTAGAGTCTGGATGAGCCTCTGCAACATAAAATATTCCATACACACACACTAAAAAAAAAAAGTGTTAAGTATTTTTTTTTCAAAATACAACTGATCCAATCTTCTCAGTCTTTATTAACTGGAATTCAGAGAATGAGCAGTTCCTCAGACCATAGGCTTCTTATCTTCTTATACTCCATGATTCCAAAGAGCTCGCAGCGCTTTTTCTCATACATAGCTCAGCCACATTTTGTCTGAGGAATGAAGCAAGTAAGACCCACTTATACAAGAATTTTCACTGAACTGACATCAAGTAGGGACTACAAAATATCATCTTGCCAGCTTAATTTTGGCGTGTGAGTTGCAAGTATGAGAAACCTGCTCTAAGAAGTCCACCCAAACATCACATTATTTAGTACCGATATAGTTGCAATGCTTGTTTATTAAGACTTACAGGTCGTTTGGCAAGATTCTGGTCATCTTCAGGAAGATCGCTGGACTCAAAAACATCTGGAGAGTTCAAGTCCTGTAAACAAATAGAATGCTAACATTACATTTACATTTATAATAAAATACACTAGTTAGAAACTATCCATCCGTGTTTCAATACAAATACGATTTTTAAAAGATATTTACAGTCGAACCTCTGCCTTAACTTAATGGAAACTTGTGTAAAACGGAAACCTGTCTTAACGGAATCTCCACGCTCCCCCCTTGATATTTTCTGCTAACTACCAGCATAAAACGGAAACCTGTCCTACGTGGAAATGGAAAGAAAAAGCCACTCCCTTCCGAGGGTTTCACCTTCTAAGACAGAAAATGCTTTGCCGGTTCAGCCCTGATATGAAACTCGCAAGTTTGGTTCTGCCGGCTCTAAACTTAACGCCATACTGTCGGGCGAGGAAGGGGAGTAGGGATGAAATTTGAGGGTAGATGTTACCATGTTACCCCATCTATGTGAACACTGAGTGATGAAGATGGCGGGTGTGAAATCTCACGAGTGCCAGTGAATGTGCTCGAGTGGCGTTCCAGAAGAGAAACTTTCATTGATAGTGATAGCCAGAGGCCAGAGGTGTAAAATTAGTTTAACCAATGCCTTCCGCCCTGATCGTTCAGCCAGCCCAGAAAAGAGTTCCTCGAAACATTGTTACATATGGGAGTGAGGAGTATCATTGGTTGACTGTGCTTATAACACCGATGGGTGGGGCGAAGGATGGAAGCAAAGGAAATGTTCAAATGTTTTTGTTTTTAATAGGTCAAACAGTGGTTCTATGAAATGCAAGCACTGGTGGTAATTGGATAAATAATGTCATTATACATCAGAGACGACAACAGCTGAGAGGTGTGAAGTTTTGACCACTTGTGACTGTTTGCCGACCGGACAAGCCACCCTTGATCCCAGTGGTTGGGCCTTTGAAACCCCCAATCCATCTCCCCACTAAATTCCCCTGTCTAAGACGAAATTTTTTTCTGGCTCCCTTGCGATTCCGTCTTATTTACACAGGTTCGACTGTACATAAAAAATATGTCAGTAGATCTTTCTAGGAAAAGTAGCCTACAAGTAAGTGTGGTAACATGATGCCATCTCTTGCTTGTCATTATCATGAACATCAATTCTGCTGTAATCCAAGGGGCCTCCCTTTAGCACAAAGCATCACTGACGATTCTAAACAGTTAATATTAACACCAACTGCTCCAGCTCTTCTCTGAGGTCCCACAGCCGGGCCGAATCTACCCATTATAACAGTCACTCAACATTACAGCATAATTACAGACTGGTAACCGCTATGGACAGAGTCTGAATTATATCACTTATTAAACTTGACAAAGTCAAAAAAGATTGTTGACTGACAGAGGCTGCATTAGACATGGACTTCTTCTATGGACATTAAAAAATACAAAAAGTGCATGGGTGTCATGGAACAGCAGCCAAAAGGTGACCACCACGGCAGGTTTGTTGGTAAAGGCAATACTGTCGAGTTCAGGCTCATACTTTAAATCCAGAAGGCCAGTTTTTAAAAAAATGATTCTAACATTTTAAAATCCGAACTGCATGTACTTGAACTTTTATTTATAACGTTAGAGCATGCTGGCAATTCAAAGACTCAAAGATGATGGTAAATTATTTTATATACGAATGTCAGCTCTTGCTACAATTTTGATGAAACGATAACGCATCAGCAGTAAGCAATCTTCCACTTTGAACATTTAAGGTATTACTGGATTCAGGTAATGAACTATATTTTAACTTTAACACTAGGCTCTATACCCCCACCGGACGCCGATCGGCGACGGTAAGAAGCAATCCCTTTTCCCCATGGGACGTCGATCGGCGACGGTGTGATAGCATGTCACAGCACCTGTAGTACAGGCCTATGATCCTATCCAGGTCCGTGGGGAAAAGTGTTGCGCAGTGCAGAGAAAAGTTTTAAAACTTTATGCTGCTCTTATTGGCCCACATGGGCAAATAAGCTGGGGCTTATTGGCCCACATGGGCCATTTAATGCGTTGTTTTTTCAATGTACATGTATTTCATATGTGGTGTTGTCCAAACTTGTTCTCTTTGATTTTTTCTCACTTTATCCCTTCTTGTTAATGTTTTCCTGAGGCATTCCATCTCGCACACATTTCTACAGATTTGATTATTTGTCAGCGGTGTTCCTGCAGATCAGTGTTATAAAATTGTTATGCAGTAGACTTTGATTGTCTGCAAACAGTATTTCATTTAGAATTTAGGTTCTCCGGATGTGGGCTTGCTTCTTTCTGCAAACAATATATTACGGTATAATTGAATTATTTCTTAGCTTACTCTATGTATACTGTGTTGGACAACAAGATGAAGATGTGTAACTTCTTAGACTCTATTGTTCATCTTTTAATTTTTAGCATTAGATTGGAAAACTATACTAGATCTATACATTCTCAATTTAAAATATATGATTGACGGACTTTATGGGGTGGGGGGGGGGAGAAGATCAAATACAGGGGAGATAACTCGCAATTTTGTGGGCAAATAAGAAATGTTCTAGGGGAAATCATATGCCCCTCCTGTGGGCCAATAAGCACTCCGAAAACTTTATTAGATCTTCACAAATCTGGCAAATTATATCATGAGTGATTAAAAATAAGAGTGAAATATTCCAAACTGGAAGATTGCCCAACTGTAGATCTAGACACCTAGAATCTAGATCTAGATCTAGATAAGACTACAAAAGTAAAGAGGCAAAATTAAGGAGCTTAGATCTAGATCTAGCGAGACCTTGGATGTCATTTAATGTGTGAAAGGAAAGCAGTTTTAACAGGTCTCTTGGCATGGGCATGAACAGGGATCTTTCTACCAGGAATTTTTTTAAAGTGTGAGTTGGTAGGCACAGTGTCGATACACACACACACACTCACACACACACACACACACACACACACACACACACACACACACACACACACACACACCTCCTCCTGGCCCTGACTACTGGATGATTCATCCATCACCCTGATGATTCCCACTCTGATACCCAGTATTCATTATCAAACCAACTTAAGATTCCCCCACACCAATAGCTTTTATTGGGAAATCCAGATTAGATAAATACAACCGGTGATAGTGCAGTGTGTTGTGAGGTTAGGAAGAAACCAGCAAGCGAGAAAATAATCAGCAGACAACACCACCGAGTTGGGCTGCAAATGCCGCAAACAACGTTAAGTCGGTTTAGCCAGGTTGGTGGAGTTACAGCAATGATATGGCTCAACTCCGTCTTTTCTTCCTTAAAGACATAGAATCTAATACATTAAAAACAAGCGACTCTTTCAATTCCATCCACCTTTAGAGTAAAATAATGATAGAAGCGTAAAAAACAGACATTAACTTACAATCCCAGGGAGATTAGCATATTTTGGGTCAGCCATGATTAATCAATCCCGGAAATGCTTTCGTTGGTGTTTTACTGTTTTGATAGCCTCACCTTCAACTAAAAAGAGCTCCAGCAAATTCTAAAACGAGTACATTGACATAATGGTCCATACGAGATATCTAAACCTGGATGGATGGTTCAGAATTTCAGATTCGGATATAAAAAAAAAGAAAAAAAAAGTATGCACAAGTTTTATAATTCGCAGAAAACGTTGAGATACCTTTTGAAATTAGCCCTAATCATTTCAATACCCTATTTTAGCTCAAACCCAGCATTAATAGGTCGATTCGAATTAACGTAAAAATAAAAAGTAATCTTGTTGCACGCGACGCAAGTTAGTGATCCTGTGTATGCATCCTTAGAGGGGTTTTATATACTGCCCAAAGAGAAAAACGTTTTTATTACTGGGTCAAGATTTTTTAAAGATATATTTTTGTTTGGTTGCTGGCCTACAGATGTGCCAAGCAAAGTTTCGTGGGCATAGGTAAATTCCTCAATGAGCTAGACTTTTTTAAATACAGCCAGACGAAAATAAAGAACCTAATACATGTACTAATATGTTTTGTAGGCTATCACTTTAACTTTATACTAAATCACAGCACAGTGAGAGTAAACTAAAACTAACAACTCTTCCTAACATCTTAGCAGGCTACCCAAGGATTAGTCTATAATCTATAAAGGCCATACAACAACTGATCCTTATGCCTATTGCCAAAACATACGCCTTCTGCACTTTGTCTCAGTATAGCCTATAAAATTACAATCAGATTTTCTTCACCGGTCTCTATAATATAAAATACGTTTCCAAGAAGAGGTTAAAATTTAAGGTTCATAAAATGCATGTGAGGGGCCTATAAATTAGAATATGAATGAATGCAGCTTCTCAGGGTAGCTGAATAGAATGCTCTATCAGCTCCATTAACTAGGCATGTTAAAATTGTCTAGTGACACGTTCGCATGAAGACTGAAACTAAACCTAAGAGAACCAATAGTTTTTTCTGAATCCTTTATATTTTACAAAGTTGTCAATTGGAAGAGTGTTATTGCTTTCTAACTGTAAGAGTGCTTCAATAACTAAAGCCAGCGAACATGCCAAAGCGCTGACATATTATATCACCATAAACAAAAACATAAGAAAAAGAAAGGAGAAAAATTAAAAAAATACACGTAGGCCTAAATAAACAACTCATTACTGTACACACTCTTATCCTGCAATAAAGGGTGAAATGAAAACAAAAGAAAAACAATCAGTAATAGCAATATCATAATGATTCGCTTTTAAAACGAGTTTTCTTGAAGATATGGGTCCAATTCGCAGTTTCTGATGATCAGCTATTGCAACCTCCAATTATACAAGTGCCGAAAACTGAGTTCGCTTTTATTGCTATCCGGCAATCGTGGACCCCCCCCCCCCCCCTTCCTAATAAATTAATTAATTAATTAAAATAAAAGTAAATAATTTTGTTTTTTAATTTTAAAATTAATTACCGGTAAATGTTATTTTACAAAAATATAGATATAAGTAAATAGGCCTAGATAACATACTAAAAACAAATAAATAAATTAACTATTAAATGGAAACAAAAAAATACTACAGTAAGAAAGAAAGAAGGGCAGAATCACAGAAATCTACACTAAGTGTAGAATTCTGTGGGCAGAATACATGTAACAGATTTGCAACTGCGAGCCTTGGCTCCTTTTAATGCTTATTATAGTGATACGCCTCTCTCAATTTCATTGAGCACGAGGCCCTACAGTTCCGATGATAGAGAACAGGCTGGGCCATGAAAATTCATTGAAAAAACCCCCCCATCAAACTCATTACGATGTCGGGCATGAATTGAGCTAATTGAAATCACCAGATAATGATGAAAGTGTCTCAAAATTGTCATTCCATTATTACATTATAATGGCCAGCCTTAGTTCAAACTCTTGTTGTAGGCCAATAATATCGTAGCTCAGGAGGGGGCCAGTGGTCTCAAGCTCAAATTATCCGGAGGCCACTGAAGATAGTATGGGTGCCAAGGCTGCATCAAGTTGTAAATAATACACACACACACACCCACAGAGAGAGAGGGGGAGAGGGGGAGAGGGGGAGAGGGAGAGAGGGAGAGAGGGAGAGAGGGAGAGAGGGAGAGAGAGAGAGAGAGAGAGAGAGAGAGAGAGAGAGAGAGAGAGAGAGAGAGAGAAAGAGAGGGGGTTCGTTTGCTACATCAAAGTGCACAGGATCCAACCTTATCAATCTTGTAAATAATACCCGACTGAAGAATATTTGTCGGTCTTGGAACTACATGTACCGGTATTAATCTGACCCCGTCGTTTTATGCAAGAATTAATTCCGAAATTCTGCAAACTGAACCCAAAAATGAGAAATTATGCGATTCTGTTAGTGTGTTACTTTTAGCAAAGAATGGAAAAAATGACCAAATTTCGCTAAATTATGCGGGTTGCATAAAACGACGGGGACAGATTAATTGGCACCAAGAACGTGAATGATTTTCACCAGTGTGACAAGGAAAGGCCCGAACTTGACTAGGATACAGCGGGAGAGAACGAGCGAGCTCCAGCTGGTGGGAAGGGGAATGCGGGTGGGGGCTGTAGACCAGGTAGGGTTCAAACAGGCAGCGGAATTTTCTTCTGGAACCAAAAGTCTCGCTATAGCCATGTTCTACTGTAGCAGAAAGCCTGCTTCGACTATCAAGGCACCCCGGGAATAGCAGTTCCCAAGAGAGAGACAAACATTCAACAGAAGTAGAGGAAAATTGACGATACATCATATAGTAAGGCTGAGGAAAGAAAAAGCAGCAGTTTCCCTTATGCATTTCTTCAGTATCAGAGAAACGAAAATGCCTCTCATTTGAAACACAGTTACTTTTGGTTGAGAAAGTCGAATGCATGATACGTTACTTGATTGATGCCTATAATTATCTACACCAAAACCTCATGTTTGCTATCAAACACTCAGATTCAACGAAATTTAAGGCTAAGCCCGACGACTTCGTTGAATCCGAGTTCCACTGTATAACGAGGTATTACTGTGAGTGTGGTGAGTGGTACTTCGGGACAGCTTTTCTTGTCTCTTCATTCGGTTCTGTTTGAAACATGACACGAGTTTTAGATAGAAAAAAGGCGGGATTCCCACTCCCAGTTTGCTATCCACTACTTTCAATAGGTGCAAATTATTTATTATTTATTTATAAACCACAAATGGAGCCTGTAGGTGTTTTTTAGGCCCCCATTAACACAATTAGATCATTTGAGAGGTGGCATCCCACCCTGTCTGTCAGGGCCAACCTGGACCGAGAGGGATACAAATGCAACATTTGCATGAGACAGCAAAGTATTTAACTGCACAACACCACAGACGCCAGTACGCAGACTCTTTAGATTTTGTTTTAGTAAGGTTTTACTGCCCTTGCAACTGCATAAGGTCATATGAGTGAATTGAGTGACAAGGGGTGGATGTCAACAGGGAAGTCATAATGGGGAATCAGGCTTAATCTGCTCACTTCTTTAGCCTCAACAGCACAAATTCTGCTTCGACTATCAAGGCACTCCGGTAATAGCAGTTCACAAGAGAGTGACAATCGTACAAAAGTAGAGGGAAAATGACGATAGTATATAAGGATGAGGAAAGAAAAAGTAGCAGTTCCCCCACGCTGTTCCGGCACAGTATGAGCGTGACATTGCTAAATCAGCCCATTTACAATTCTACTGTGCATAAGAACATGTTTATATCCCCCCTTTGAGAATGGCCTAAAGAGACTTCAATCAGTAGCAGTACGAAGACTGGAGTCATTAACTCTTAAACTTAAAAACAGTATTAAATAAAAGAACCTTAGTGTTAGAAGGAATTCCTTTCAAGGCTGCCTGCACAGTGCAGTACATGTAGTATGTGTGAGCAACTTAGCTAGGCGACATCATTGCTGCATTGTGTTGAAAATAGCATTACATTAAACTCCGACAGAGACAATAAGAAAAAGCCCCAAAACTTTTGAATTTCTCTAAAGGGACACATGAGCAGCACGAGTGTGACTTCTGCAAGCTATTGTACTATGACTATGAGTAGGCCTACCAGTAAGAGTGCTTGAGTTTTTATCTTTTTCACTGCACACTCACCTCTACAATTATTTCAATGTTATGTATAGCAAATCTCCACAGTTCACCTACTGTCTCAAGAAAAAAATAAATAATCAGCCTTGTAACTTTCCCATTATGAAAAATTCAAACTTTAATGTTCATAAGAACTGTTAATACATGTACAATCTAGCAAGCACATAGTGAAATTGGTGGGGACCCAGAAATCTTTTAGTTATGTTTACAAATTTCGCTATTATTTTCCTTTATCATTCTTTGTTAAAATTAACAAAATCGCATAATTTCACATTTTTGGGCTCAGTTTGCAGAATTTTTCTTGCATAAAACGACAGGGACAGATATACAGGAATAAGAAAAAAATCAGAACCCGGAAAATGCTCGCTGTGTGCTTGTTTGTGTACATCTTTCCTGTGTGCATGCTAGACTGTAGTTTGTCTGCCAGTTTCTGACAACAACCAATCTGTAGACGATTCAGAAGCAAAATAGAAGAATTTAATGAGGGTCAAGATAACAATCTTATCCAATGTTGGCTGAAAAGAGTTTGCTACATTTTGAGCATAAGCTTCACTTCCACTCGCAATTGCACAAAGCTTAGGGCTTCTCTCTTGGCTTCAGAACTTTTAATTCGAGAGGCTCATAACTCTAATGACTTGCTGTCAACTGTGACTGCTGCTCTCCAAAACCCAAAAGAGTCTGTCAGGAGCTATTCTCACCCATGTCAAGGGATTTATTATATTTAAGTCCTCCAAGGACATTGTACGGTATCTTTGCAGCAATTTTTTGTCGCCCAAAGCTGAAAATAGCAAAGAATAAAGCACTGTCTTTGAAATTCTGAAATCAGGCATTCTTACAAAGTTGCCAGCCCAGCAAAGTATGGCAGACAAGCTGTACTACTAGTGACCTTGTATTACTTTCAATTTCATTCTACTTCAAAACCAGGAACAGAAACTGTGATAAAAAATAAAATCTATAGCTACCAATTTATACAGGCCTCTCTACAGAATTCTAACTATAAAAAAACAACTAACTTTCACACATCAATGGGAATCTCCACATCCATGGATAATTATGGTGAAAATACTGTTTCTCGAAAATAAATAAAACACTGAACACTCTTAAGTGAAAATTTCAAGAATGTTGTAATTCATCACAGGCAAAATAACAACAAATGTAAAGGTATAACCTTACTCCGAGTGTGCTCACTCATTATAAATGTCACAGATTCTATTTCACAGTAAAGAACACACTCCGTAGCCATTCCTAAATTCTCATGAGAACCCTTCTTCCTCCTTATTGTATCCGATAAACTCTGGATCTATTTGAAGGTGGCTGATCAGATCACTCATGTGAGGCTGGGGCGGTGGCTGCAGCTCCAGCAAATCAGTCAATGCCCTTTGAGATACATCTCTCCATGTGTCGATGAGCTTCTGCAATTCTGTCAAATTATTCTGGAGTAAAGAAGAAAGACAAGAATGTAACATACGAGAGGAGAAACATTGAAATGAGTAAACAAGGAGAAAAACAATCCAACTTTCAGAACCACAACATTTGCAATGACAAAAAAAGAAATCATAGTTGTATTGTAAAGCACGTCTGTGATGGGAAGTTTGCGTATTTTGTGAACAATTTTTTAGAACGGGAACATGTCATGTTCAATTGAAATCGTTTTCAAAGTATCATTTTATTGAAAATTTAAAAAATTCAAATCTACTCTACAGTAGTTAGAAGTGCTGAAACATGAGTCACACATATGTGAGGCATTGTGGTCAAATCAGGCGCTCGTCAAAATAATGAAAGAGATGAAAACAGCATTTTTCTTCCCGCTTGGCAATATTTATCAAATTTTTGTTTTTTGGCTCAACACCTTTTATGTTCATTTAGAAACAAATTCCGGTGAGGTTTTTTTAAGAGAAAAATGTTGATTAAAGGCACAAACATGTAGATTTACAGTTTCCATGGACTCTCCAACTTTGGAAATTACCAAGCTTTGGTTGCCATTTTCTCACTAATTTTACCTCTAAAACCAGATAAGAGGAGAATCTATCCCCACCTTTTTCAATCCAAAATATCTCCACTTGTGTTGAAACTAGATGGGTAATTTTTTCATTGAAAGCAAGACAAATGAATAAGTTTTAACTTTAAGATGATATTTATCACTCAATACCCCCAAAAATTGACGAGCGCCTGATTCCATCATGTTGTGACACATATTATCAATAATATTACCTCCTACAACAGGACATTGGGAGTCATTTTGGGAGGCGCAAAAGTAAAATAGTAAAGTAATCTATAATTCCGTAGCTATGTTTTCACAGGTGACAATGATCAAAGGTCACCGTTTCCTGTACTGTACCTGTAAGTTGTAAGAAATAGCTGAAACCTCACTGCAGTGTTATCCCTAATATTAGTAATATATGAAGGAATATGTTGCCCCTTAGCCAAGCATTTTGAAATAGCAGGGTAAAGGGAAGGGTCTAGTATATTACTTGGTATGTTTGCATTGAGGAAGCTATTGTTAACACTAGTACTTGTAGAGGCACTGCAGGACAGAGAATTATCATATCAAAATACTGAAGAATAGTCCAATAACTTGTAATCTACTCCACTTTGCCATACATTTTCCTCTAAACCTGAGTAAAACATCTCTCATATGACTGAGCAGAAATGGCATATCTTGCTTTCATTTGAGAGTAGAACATAAGGAGACAAGAAAACAATCAGTTGCATTATCAAAGAGTAACTTGAGAGAGATGAAAAAACTCAAGAATTCTGAGTAGCAAGTGCCACTGTCATCAGTTATTCCGCAGCTGTAACAAAGAAACACCACAGAGTAACTGTAACTGAATTTCAACGATAACTGCCACAATTCAACAGTTTTAGTTTGAGTTAAAAAAGCACATACTGACATGATGAGAACCAAACAAAGGAGGTAAAAGCAGGATAGACAGACAGTTCGGAACAGGAAAAGGAAAGAAGCAGCACATACTAATGGTATCCTCTAATTATCTGTACTTTGAAAGGAACAATTTAGGACAAAAGAAGTTGAGAAGAAGTAAAAGGATAATACTTAACCAGAGTGCTCACCAACCACTCACAACACAGAAAGTTAGCACTTGACACCTTTATCAAATGAAGGTCATACAATGCTAGATATAATAAGCTGACATGGAGTAAATGAAATGGACAAAGCTATACATATCAGTAATGCTTCTAGCCACCCACATTTTCTTAGAGAAAACAATGAATAGTGTACTTATACGACTATTAAACAAAATGAAAAATTAAAATCCTACAACGGTAAAGTCTTCACTTCTAAATCAGGATAAAAGGAACTCTGACGTGTTTACTCAACCTTTTCTCTGTACATTTTGACCATCTTTAGCTTTCTCAGGCATTCTTCTTGCTTCAAGAGATCGGACTGCAACGTCTTTTTCACTGCTAAAAGTTCCTCCATGTCTTCAGATTGACAAGAGGGGTCCGACTGTAAATGATCCCCCTCAACAACATCTGAATGGGACTGGGGCACACTAGTTGAAGGGTCAATGCAATTAGAGTCTGACGAGGTGTCTGTAGAGACTTTCTTGCTCAGATCATCAGTCAACACATGCGTAGAAGTACCCACATCACAACTGTCACTATATTGCGTTTTTGAATTTCCATCAATTGTCTGATCTACAGATTTTATCCTGTCTTCAAATTTGATTGGTTTTAATGTCTTTAATTTAGAAGGCAACCTGAAGTTGGTATCACCCTCAACTGCTGACAACAGATGATTCTTTTGAAGCACATCCTTAGAAGGAGTGAACTCAGCTGTTGGCGAGTTCATGCAGTTATTTAAAATTGCAGTTTCAGTCTTAAACTGTGAAGTCTGCGGTGAGTGGATGGAAGTAGGGGTTCCAGGATGATAGCGCCCGCATTTTTTCAACCTTTCCCTTAAACTGGAGCTCATCTGTGAAAATGCAGTAGACATTGGTGTATATTTAGTCACGAGAGGCTAGAGGGAGGGGAAATTATTTCTTAAAACCATGAGAATTAACACTCACCTGGAGCCTTCATCAGCATTACATTACATCCAAAAGTTATTTTACTCACTCAGTCAAATATGGTGGTGGTGGTGTGTGTGTGTGTGGGGAGGAAAGGTGGTCAATAATAAGAAATTACTATTTGGGATGTCAGTACAAAAGAAATTTTGTCATTAGTTGCCCAATAAGCATACACTTGAGACATTAATTATACTAGGTAAAGTCTTTTTAATTTCGAAGTGCCAATTTTTTAAAAAATCAAATTATATTTAGACAAAAGTAATGTTCGGTTTGTGCCACGATGGTATAAAATCTAAGGTACAGCTGGATTTTCTGTGGTTTGGCCACGTTTTTGGATAAGAGAGGTCACTCAAAGTGTGATGATTGTCAACAATGTAGAGATGGGAATGCCATGTTTGAAGCAAATTTTACTTTTTGACAGTTTTTTCTCACACCTCTTAGAGGTAATTGGAATTTGAGTTGCAAGCTGTGCACATTGTTCCTTGCGTTTTCTCTTCAGCACTGTTATTTTGCTTTTAATCAACTGAACAGCCACACAATCTATTGTTATAAATTCATATTATCTAAATTTTTTCAGGCTCACAAACAGGAATATTTCCACTAACTGATAGTTTTTTTTTCTATCAAAGGTCAAAATGAAGAAAATCAGGGATTCCATTTTCTTGGTTTACCACATTGTTTTCAGATTAACCATGTTCAGTTTGCAGACTCCACTGTGCTTGAAATACACAATAACTTATCCATATATGACATATGAACAAAGTCATGTAAATTATAACTGTGGCACATTCCATAAGATATCTTTGCACAGCCACAAACAGCTTTAGGTCACCTTGTTGCCAGGAAGGTCTTTGTTCTTGACGATCTGTTGAGGTGTTCTGTCCATTTTCAGTTTTTAATCCTCGCTGGTTAAGATACTGGATTCCTTTCGTTACAACCTGGGCAAAATCAAACAGTAAAAATTGCACAATGTTCTTTTCTTTGATCTTAGTCACGACAACACAAGGCAAGGTTGTACAGTCAACTACGAATGAGTTGATGTCATTGGGGGAGTGAAAAAAAGATCAACTCATCTAAAGTTCACCTTGAACTGTTGGGATCTATAAAGGAGAAGAGGCTCTGGGACCCGAGAAAAAGATCAACTTAACCAAAGATCAACTAGCGAGTTCAACCCAAGAGGAGTCGACTGTACTTGTAGACTTGTTTCATTAATTTAATCAAGTGTACTCTCAGTCAGAGACTAGAAGGAGAAAAAAAAGCTGGAAATTGAAAGAAAAAAGAAAGCAATTCACACCAGAACATTATTAGCTGTCAGTAAACTGCTTGCAGCAGGCACTTCAGAGCATGGCATAACCTGCTCTGTTGTCTCTAGAACAGGGATTTTGTGTAAGTGGTGAGCTTTGGACAATTGTAACAACTTAGAGTAATGAGTAAATACATTTAAATTTATAAAGTTTATAACTGTACATAGAACACATTCTATACCCTTTATTACTACACACTCACTAGTTTTAACTTAGTGTTCCACACCACAAATGCATCATATACACACAGAATATAAAATATCTTAAAAAGGCAAAGCAAAGGGCGGAGTCAGTCAGATTAAGAACAAAAAATGTTGTCAAATCTCAAACATGTGCGCTGATAAAATTTCAGATTCTACAAAATTCAATAAATTTTCAAGGTAAAAAACGTAAGGTCAATTGTTTATATAAAACTTAATTAATAATTTGAACTAGGAAAGGAGTCCTATACAAATACATACAGTCAAACTTCTCCAGGATGAAATTACAGGGGAGCTAGAAAAAAAAAAACCATCTTAGAAATTTTCCATCTTGAAGAGGGGAATAATTTACGGGGGAGAGGGGGGGTTCCAGAGGGCCAGCCCAAACATGGTAGGATCAGGGGTTGCCCGTCCGGTATGCAAGTAGTTGTGTGGTCATTATTTCACATCACCCTAGTGTCCTAACCTCTCCTCTGATAATAAAATAGTGTGTTAATCTTAATCTTACATTATAATTGTCACCAGTAGCTGCATCTCATATATTAAATAAATGAAAATTACCACCGTTTAACCAGTAAAAAACATAAATTTTATGTTTGAACGGTCTCCATTGTTTCCCCCCGTAGCCCCACCCATCTCTGTACTGTAAGCAGAATCAACCAATGCCAGATCCTTCCCTGCATGTAGCAACGATACCAAGAACTTTATTCTTAGCAGGCTGTATGATCAGGGTGGCAGGCAGTAAGGCAGCTTGGTAAAATTAATTTCACACCTCTGGCTACCCAGGAAAGTGAAGGTTTCTGAACTGTGCACTGATCTGGCACGCCACTCTTTTAGTTTTATAAAATAAAACACAGTGGAACCAGACTTGGAGCTTTTGTTTCAAATCAGGGCAGAGTTGAAAAATCATTTTTTCTGCCTTTTCTTTCATTCAGCAACTCCACATTTTCTGTCTATGTGCCCATTGGTAGGACCGATTTGCTTTGGTTCGTATTGGTTGTCCGAGCTAGCCAGATTTTCCTCCAAGGAGAGGCAAAAGCTACCATTGTGGTAAAGCAACAAAAAAAAAGAAAGAAACCAACAATAATGACCTTCAAAAACAAACGCAGGCCGTGAGCAGGTTTGAGGTCTAGATCTAGATCTATTTCAGTATTCGTAGTGAGCACTGAACAAGCCGCCAGAAACCTAGCCGAACCAAACTGATCTTCCAATTCGTACCAGCACTGCACATTATTACAGTTGTTAGTAACAGTCGAAACCCTCCATTGCCAAGGGAAGGAACTTCCCATGCCATTCTGCTTCAGTTTACAGATTGAGCATGTTTCTGTATGAAAGTAATATAGAGTATAGGACTAGCCTAGACTTCTAGATTCTAGATTCTAGATCAACAGTACTGTCCGGGCAGAGGAATTTTGATCAAATCAAGGAGGGGGGTGAGGAGGTTCCATTTTATGACAGGCTTCTGTTAACGCAGGTTCGACAGCTAGCTGTGTATGTAGTCGTAGTGTAGCAGAGACCTTCCTTACCACCAACACTCTCTGCTAACTCTACTCTACCTACTTCTGAGGGCTGACACAGCCTAGCCGGCGATTGTTAAATTCAGTCCCGCGTTTAAATTGCGAATGTGCGTTTTTCAGGGTTAGGGTTAGGGACCAAAGCGACTGAGGCTATGAAAAACACACATCGGAATTATACGCTGGAATCTTTTAACAATCGCCGCCTAGCCTACTCAGCCTACTGTGTAGCAGGCAGCACTTACACACAGGCTACAGCAGACCGGTTCTAAAAGTGAAGTTGGCAGTCGAAAGTCCATCAAAATTCTTGGGGCTCCAGTGAGACTATTGGCCTTGCCAAAATTATTGTAGATCTACATACCTTGGGCCCTGTCGTCAAACTTAATTCTATAAAGGCAAATAGGGTAAAATAGTCTCTGACTCTTGGCTTACATTGTGTTATTGTTTATTGTTGACATCAGATTTTTCGTATTTCGTGCCTCTCTCGCCTTCAGTCGGGGGATCGGCCAGCTCATGAGCTCAGCATGTTTACTTCCGGGTCGTTAAGGTCAGTAGCTAAAGATAGCGAGAAGGATGGCTTTTACACTTTACACACATGGTGTGCCTTGAACAACACACTGCACATTCTACTTGATCCCGAGTCCAGACGTGTCAACAGAAACGATGGGGAAGAAGAATATTAAAAAGAAACAAAAGAAGTCATTATTGCAGGGTGAGTTTTTATACACTCTAAGAGTTTGCTGAGTAGGCTACTTGTTGATCAACTTTGGACTTCTTATTGTGCTTGTAAGTTGTAATCATCATCAGGACCTGTCGCTGGCTCAGGAACTGCGAGGATCAGATGAGCAGTGACAGTAGAGTGAATGAAATATATATATACCATGTATGTAATGAATTAGTAATAGAGTCTAGTAATAATAGTGTAGATCTAATCTAGATCTAGAATCTAGAGGGTGCGGTGGTGGAGCGGTTAGTGCGCTCGTCTCCGAAGCGGGAAGTTCGGGTTCGAGCCTCGGTTTGGACACATATTTTTTTCGCCCCCTCCTGCCCTCCCAGCAGTAATGGGTACCTGACTTTGGGGAAGTAAAGGCGGCGTGGAAAAGAACTGGCCACCCTATCACAATGCCGAAGGCCCAGGAAGTTGTTTCACTAAACATGGCGATCCCCAATGTCCGAATCGGATGCGGGAACAACTTTAGTTTTTAATAATACTGTATTATAACAGACATAAATGGTACTGTCAAACTTGTCCAAGTTCAAGTCAAGGGAATTGTAAAGCAAAATTTAAGAAGCCAAGAAAAAAAAAGATCTACAGCAGAACATGACTCTATAGATCTAGATCTAGATATAGGTCTACTGCTAGATCTATAGTCTATGCATTAACGGCACCTGCTACAGCGGGACCTTACCGGAATCCCCCCTTTTTTAAATATAGATTAAATTCAATTAGGCTACCTGTGTTCAGGTTTAGCGGAGCAAGGAAAGGCCCGAACTCGGATACAGTGAGATCGAGCGAGCTCTAGCTGGTTAGGCGTTGTGATTGGCCTGTGCAGTGATGAGTGAGGTGGGGGAGGCGGCAGAGAGACGCATTACCATGATTACGTGAGCCACTCCAAAAGTAAAAATGATGTGCCGTAGCTTGGAGCTCAGTATGAGAGCGTGTATCTATTGGCCATAGGGTAGACCAAAAAGTGAAAGAAGAGAAGAGTATCTCTCTCTCTCTTCTGTCGCTGGGACGTCATAAACGGTCAGAGATGCCGACAGCAAGCAGGAACTCAACACTTGCCCGGGGGTCCTTTAAAAGTGATGAAAATGGGTTACTGAAATGTCCCAGCAGACGGGTTCTGGCACGATAGTTGGCGAGACATCTCAGGAACACATGGTCTATAGTTTCATCCTCCTCCTTGCAGGCTCGACAAGACAGATCTGGGTTGTCTGCTGGCGCAATTTTGTGGAGATATGATCTCAGCTTGGGCGATTTTCCCCCAGTTCTCATTTGGAAGAGAAGCCGGCGGTCCTGTCGTCTGAGCGAGGCCTCAAGCTGGTATGATGGCGGCTGGGCAAACAGCAGTTTGGGTTTCGCCTCTCTCTTCCACTTTACGCGGGTCGACCGGTGGATGACGGCTTTAGCTGTCGAGAAATCGATTGGCGTGTCAATCTGGGTAAGCGCTGTTGCTTCTTTGGCGAAGCTGTCAAATTCCTCGTTCCCAGCCAGTCCAGCGTGGCCTGGAATCCACTGTAAGTGGATGGAACATTCGGAGCTTTGACAGAGGGTGTGCAGATGCTGCCAGATTGAGCATGCCACCTTTTCGATTGGTTGGTAGGGCCGTATGAGAGGCGCATGACTGCTGACCTGGAATCAGTGCATACATGGATGCGTACACTGTTCGGAAGGCTGCCTGCTGAATGAAGTGCCACAAGCTACCCAGCGCTGTATCGAGAGCTACAAGCTCGGCCCTGTAATGGAACAATACTGGCCCGCGGGTACACGGTGGTCGAGTTCGGTATCACCAGTCTTGATCAGTATTCCACTGCCTCCGTACTCGGTACCGTGCTTAGCTGAACCGTCTGTCCAGACTTCTACATCGGGCAGGGGAAGCGATCGAATGGTAGCCTCTGCTGCTGCTTTCCTGATTGCTGATTCATTAGCACGCTTGCAGTCGACGACAAGATCGGTGCTAAAAGTCACGTTGCATGATGCAGCCTTCCACGGTTGTGTGTGGGGGGGGGGGGTAAAACAACCAGCTCCTCGCGTGGGTATGTATCCAGTTCAGTTTCGGCTATGAGGTTCTGGGCATGCTTTCTCCAGTTCGACTTGCCTGTCCGCGTGGGCACTGATTTTGTTGCAGAGGCTCTGCGTTGGTTTGTTGCAGGCAGACACTTGGACTTCTCAAGTGAGATGGCAGTCAAGGCATCAGCTCTATGCCTTAGTGGTAAAATGAAGAGAAGAGTGTCGTGTGTGATTCCTGATTCATTGAATTGCAATAATTGATGCTCAGAGATATACACACGCATCCATTTTACCAGTTCTACCGTGGGCCTACCAGTACAATAGATAGCACAAGCAATGAGACCAAGGAAAAGATGGCTTCAAGCAAAGACGAAAGGAAAGGCTTCTCACTCGAATTAAAGGCCGAGATAATCAACGAAGTTGACAAGAAAAGGAAGGCTAATCTAAAGTGCATATTTTATTGATATGGAAAGGAGGTAATCATGTGGATTTTTAGAAATTTTGGGTAATTTCCCCTTTGCATTTCTATAGCGGGAACTTGCCTACAGCTGAATTTTTCTTCTGGAACCAAATGTCTCGCTATAGCCGTGTTGTACTGTCATCCGCCTTCTGCCTCTGCTGACATTAAATTAATTAAGGGGAGGGAAGGGGTGGTCTCCAGAGGGCCAACCCACACACGATGTGACGGTGGGATCAAGGGTTGCCTAAATGGTCCGCAAGTAGTAGTAGGCCTAGAGTTCTAAGCTTCACTCATCCAAAATGCATCTCCACCCCCACAATTGGCAGCATGGCGTAAATCATGGTAAAGATTAGAAGTGATGGAATCAAACTTGGGAATTTTGTTTCAGAACAATTAAATAATGTATCTAAGGGATGCACGAACAAAGCATTATTTTCAGTCTTTGACTGGTCAGAACCCTCCGAAGGGAAGGATGTTCTCTTTCTGTTTCCAGGTTTTGCAGGTTTTTGCCTTTGTGAATTATAGAGGAATTTATCGAGGGAAGGCAGGGGTACTGTGGACCAGTCTCAACAACAGAGCAGTCAAGGCTATCATGCCTACTGTCAATATACAAGGTACGCAGTTGGAAAGGCAAGAGAAATTGAAGTACCTGGGCATTACTTTTGACCGCACCCTCTCGGCAAAAGACCGTGTGACAAATATTGTCACCAGAGCAAGGAAAGGACTTGTTGCACTGAGAGTGATGGCTGCATCTATGCCCCAACGCGCCCTTATGATCATGCTTCAAGCGGTTGTACTGTCTGTAGTGGACTATGGCCTTGGTATGCTCACCCTATCCAAAACCCAACTAAATCGCCTCGAAGTCATTCAAAATGAAGGAATGAGAACTGTTCTTGGATGCACCCGTGACACAGCAGCATCAGCGATGAGATATCTGCTGGACCTGCCAACGTTAACCCACCGACACAAGCTAGCACAAGTCAAGGCCTACCTTCGAGTAACAGCAGACGAACGTCACCCTCTACCTCCGAAAATAGGAAACCAAGTACGCCAAAGATTGAAAAGAGGATCTTCATGGATGGTGCAGGCGGAGCGAACTCTCGATCCGATATGTGCTGTGAAATCGAGGACATAAGAAGAGGATGTGACTGGATGAGGCCGGAGAAAGACATGAGCAACTTCATGAAGGTGATAGCTACGCTAGGTCGAGAGTGTCGCAAGTGGCCAGCAAGTGCAACTAATGCGGAAATTGTGGCCATCGTAGAGGAAAATTCAGTTATGGGTGATGTTGTTGTCTTCAATGACGGATCAGTGAGGCGTGGCCAGTAATCTGGATGGGCGTTCAGTGCTCGAGTTGACGGTAGGTAGGATAATTAAAAAACAGTCTGGAGCTTACGAGTGCACTACGTCGAGCATGGCAATGGAGGTCAAGGCAATAACAGAGGCTCTGGAATGGATCAGCACGGAAGCGTATAAACATGCCCTGTTTGTCACAGACTCGATGAGCACCCTAGAAAAAATCAGGAGTGGGTGGCTCTACAGTGACTGGAGAGCTTCCATTGCAAATAGCCACCTCCTAAGAATTACATGGGTGTTCTGCCCTGGTCACGTCGGGGTGCACGGAAATGAGCGTGCTGATGAACTTGCCGGCAAAGCAGCACCCAATGGCCGAATCATGCTCGACCCACCAATGGTGATCGCCAGATGCAAGGAGAGCCTTCACAACCAAGAGGAGTCAGACTCCCACACACTCGACACAATAAAAGGAAAGTGTGTGCGGGGCACAGCGAAAAAAAGTTTGCTCCGAGGAGTGGTCAGGCGTGTCTCAAACCAGCTCCTCATGGAGACAATTAGCAGGAAGACCCTGAGGTGGACGCTGGAAAGGAGAGATGAGCAGCTATGGACATGTGCCGCCTGCTATGATTCTAGCTCTGAATCCAAGTAAATCCAAGCAAGTTATCGAGGGAAGCGGGGAGATTCTTTTATTAGGTTTCTGTTAAAGGCAGGTTCAACAGTAAGTTGCTACCTCAGAATTTCAAAGTTCTATTTGCTCAGTACCTAGTTTAGAGAAATTTGACTTTAAAAATTCTGAGTTTTACAATATTTCAAGCTTTTTCCAATGCAGTTCTTTGAATAGGCTGCCCTATCTTGATAACTTCTCAGAATAATCTTACGATTTTGATAGATCTAGAACACAGAACATTTGGTTTCTAACCTCATGGCCTTAGTAGTAACTCAGTTAAGCGGCCAAAAATGTGAGATAGAACTTTGTAATTCTGAGAAAACGAAGTATTTCCCATTTGGTTCCTAATAAAATACAGTCGAACCTGCCCTGACGGCCACCTCTATAAGACGTCCACCTGTACAATCGGCCACTTTCCATTTCCCCCCTTGCGTTTTTTCTATATAATTTAACTGTGTAAAACGGGCACCTGTCCAACGCGGCTGCGGCCACCATAATTTAACACACAACCCCTATCATACTAAGCAATAATACCTGTCTAAGACGGTCACCTTAGTGAATCCATTACGTTTTGTCATAAATTGTGCTTTGGCCCCTGGCGTTGTGGGCGAGCCGTCGTTATTCAATCACCTATCGTTGTTGTTTGGTAGTCCCTCCAACCGATCATGTTGCGTAGGCCCCTCCCACTGTTGACCAATAGCTACCAATTTTCAGCTGCCGGTGAGGTAAGCGTGTGATCCCTCATAACCCATAAGCCCCGCCCAGAACTCATACACAAATCTTAAGTGAGATGAGTGGTTACTGTTGACCCAGTCTGTAACAAAGTAACAAAGGACGTCAACATGAACTTGTTACAGAAGCGTCGCTCTTTCTCCGAGTGGTGACGACCCATGTGTTTGTTTTAACATGGCACTCGGTCTTCCTTGTCTGATACATTTTGTTTTATTGTCACCCTTGTACAAAATCAGCGACAAAATAAAAATTACAAACGAAATACAAACCAACAACAACAACACCAACAAAGACAACATAATGGGCTACTTTCGACTGGGGCCTCAGATGGAATGGTTTGTTTTCTTTATCTTGATCAGTCCTGCCTAAGACGACCACCTGTCTTATACGGCCACTTTTCTCCTTGACAATGGGTGGCCGTCTTACACAGGTTTGACTGTACTTCAAAACTGTTGAAATTGTCCAAAATGGCCACCCTATGTTATAAATATTCAATAGTGTCTTACGCTGAGCTTTGTGAGAGTTGTTTAATACACAGTCGAACCTGTGTAAGATGGAATCACATGGGAGTCAGGTAAATATTCTGTCCTAGACAAGGAATTTTTAGGGGGAGGTGGAGGGGGGTTTCAACGGCCCAGCCGGTGGGATCAAGAGTCGCTTAAATTGTCCGGTCGGCAAGTAGTGGTCAAAACTTCATACTTCTCAAGTGACATCCTCTCTGATAATGACATGCGCCAGTCTTACTTATAAATCTATTGCCACCAGTGCTTGCGTTTCATAGGAGTGCTGTTTGACCTATTAAAATAAAAAACAAATGTTTTTGCTTCTACCCTTGTCCCCGCCCATCGGTGCCATAAGCAGAGTTAACCAATGCCACTTCTCTCTCCCATGTAACAACAATTAGAGGAACTTTTTTCTTGGCTGGCCGTACGACCAGGGCGGCAGGCATTGGTTGAACTAATTTCACACCTCTGGCCTCTGGCTATCAATGAAAGTTTCCATGCTGGAGCGCCACTCGAGCACTTTCACTGGCACTCGTGAGATTTCAAACCCACATCACCATGACCATCTTCATCACTCGGGGCTCACATAGATAGGGTAGCATGGAAACATCTACCCTCAAATTGCACCCCTACCCCCCTTCCTCGCCCGGCAGCATGGCGTTAAGTTTAGAGCCTGCTGAACCAAACTTGCAAGTTTTTTTTCAAATCAGGGCTGAGCGGGCAAAGCATTTTCTATCTTAGTCAGGTGAAGCCCTGGTAAGAGAGCGAATTTTTCTTTCCTTTTCCGCGTTGGACAGGTTTCTGTTTTCGAAGTGTATACAGACCCGGTAACCGGGAACAAAGTCATGGAGTATACAGACCCGGTAGGGGAACTCTTTTGTGATTTCGGGAAGTTTCAGCCCCCAGACCCAGCCGGTAGAAATCTAGTGTGTGTGTGTGTGAGAGAGAGAGAGAGAGAGAGAGAGAGAGAGAGAGAGAGAGAGAGGGGTGCTAGCAAAATGTAATGACATGCCCCAGTTGGCAGGAGGGAACGAGAGAAAGATAGAGTGTGAAATAGGTGGGGACAAAGAAAGACAGAGACAAACAAAGAAAAAGAGAAGGCGAGCGAGAGAGAGAGAGAGAGAGAGAGAAATAGAGAGAGTGACTGCTCGATTGAAATTATGACATTGTTCTTTTCTTCAAATTGGGTCTTGCGATTCCCCCAACTCCAAAACGGAGGAAAAACGATCGTTCATCGAAAAGACATCCGCAATCTTCATTTAGATCTAGCCGCGAAACTAGATCAAAGATTTATGTCTCTCTGCCTATGTCTAGATCTAGACCTAGGCCACAGATCTAGAAGAACCTAGGTCTACCCTGAGCCAAGAGGGCGCAGAAACTCTCCGAAATCACAAAAGAGTTCCCCTACCGGGTCTGTATACTTTGTGACTTTGTTCCCGGTTACCGGGTCTGTATACACTCCCTTCTGTTTTATACAGCTAATTAAAGAGGAAATATCAAGAGGGGATTCTGTTTCAGCAGGTTTCTGTCTTACACTCTTTTCCGTTAAGGCAGATTCGACTGATATTGAATATGATGTCTCAAAATCGAACACATAATAATGTACTGTGTATATATCTGACTGTCTGTTTTGTCGCTTTGAACAGATGAGCAGCAAAAAGCAGCCAAAACAGTGACATCAGTAGTTGCAGAAGATAAAAAGGAAACTGATGCAGCACACTCTATTGACAGATTACTGGACAAGGTATGGGCTTAAGATTTTCATCTGTCATGAAAGGTTTTGTTAGTTGTGCTTTGTATTTGTACTCCACTTCTTGTTTGCCTTGCTCAGATATTTTGAATTAGAAGGTAAAAGATTTTAAAATGGGCTGAGTGCTGTCAATGCATCAGTTTTTAATGGTGCAGTCTATATTTGGTCTTGTTTGTTTTCAATCACAGACTTTAATTTCACATTCACATTCAACACCAGTGAGTGTTTGATGAATGTGGTGGCTTTTGCTTTGATTTTATTGATGTGCATAAAGGGTAGGTCATCATATTTGCAATCTTCAACATGATTTTTAGAAGATGGACCTTTTCAGATAATTCCAACTGTTGCATCCCTTATAGACTTTGCCTGACTGTACTGAATATTGAGATCAAAGCTAAATAAACATCTTGATTTAAAAAAAAAAATGTTCAGTAAAGTAGAAAAGGTTGATGTAAAAAAAATATGAAACTCCTTTTTATGACTGTTCCTATTCCATTTTTATTTTGCTTTGTCTTTTTGTCAAATTAAAGTATGAAGACTTTCATTCATCTACTTTTCTTTTCTTTTCTTTTTTTTTTTTTTTGGTTGTCATCTGAATATTTTTCATGTTCGAGGCATTCTGTTCATACCCAGACAAAACCCTAGTAGGCATAAAATTGAGCACTGTATGTGTGCCAGTAGTCATTCATAGTCATAGTGATATGCATTTTACTTAGACACTTTTGTCCTTTCATATTAATGTTAGAGAGTAGGTTTATGCAAGCAGTTTGAGATTTTGTGGCAGTGAATTTATGATCTATATATTGTATCACGTCATCTTTTCCAATGAATGTTGCTCCTTAAAGATATTGCCTAATTTAGTTTGTTAAAGAATTAGCTTATTTGTTTAGTATATATATATGTGTGATTTGATAATAATTTTGATTCCTGTATTCCATAGGCTGAACAGCTAATTGATGAGTTCAATTATGAGCTTGCTCAGAAATTTTGCCAGAGAGCTTTAGAGACAGAACCGGATAATGTCCGTGCCCTTGAAACATCAGCTTCTCTCCTTCTTGAACTGGGCAATGCTGAGTCTGCAAAGCATGTAAGAGTTTTTAGTTTTTTTGTACTCAAGTAATGACAAATACTTTCCAAATTTTAATTTGAAGCTTGTTGTTTTGGTGTTGACTGAAAAAAAATAATCTTTTGTTGCGTTCCCATTATACTTTTCTTAATTTTTGTTTATAGTTTCTGTTCATTATGTGTGTAATAATTCATGAGTTAAAATCTTTTGGCGATTTTGCAGGCTTATTTTCCCCATTATATTGTTATTTTCTTCAAGTGTGGAATATTGGAAAGGAGTTAGTTTCCTCCACAATGTTCTCAGTGCTGGTGTCCTAAAATTTGAATCAATTGTGTGTGTCATAAAAATTCCAATAAATAACACCTCCTACATGTGTTGATTTGCTTCTTAGTGTCTGGGCCGTGCTGTGGAGGTGTGTCCAGAATCTGGGTTCAGCAAGTACATGACTCTTGGTCAGCTCATGGAGGGAGCCACAGCAGTACAATGCTACCAGAAGGGAATTGAACTCATGATCAAGGAGAAAGAGTCAAAGGAAGCAGAGGAGGTATGGAATAGCCATGATGTTAGAAACCTGTTTTTTTATATTCTAAATGAAAATTAGTCTGTGCAAATTCGTAAGTCTTCAGTCTGTGCAAATTCATAAATCTTCAGTCTTTGCTATGGAGCCCAGCTATTGGTTTAGTCTTTAACAATTTTTGAGTAATACATACTTGTCTTAGTTACTCATCAGTTGTTTATTCTTTGAGAGTTCCTGAGTAGCATGGCTTTCTCTGTGTGGATTTTGACTCACATTTTTTATACAGTTACCAGAGTGGCATGACTTGGTGTCCGTTGCTCTCTATTAATACCGTAGAGTGGTCTGTGAGAGTGCCTGAGTAACTGAACTCTGTCAGATAGATATCCTCAGGTGTACTCTGTCAAAATTCCAGTTTTTATTCTGTTAGCCTCATCTTTCTTGATTTTAGTCCTCAATGATTATTGTATTCTGTTTTTGGTTCAGTAGTCTCCATTTACTTATGCTTTCTAATGTGTCTTTCTTAATGTCTGGTATTAAAGGGCAAAGCCAGCATTATTGAGTCTTGTTTCACTGAGATGCTCTTGTTCATGTGTGTGACTTACCTTGGTCTGAGTTAGTGTCATGTTCAATGATGTTCTGGTTTACTGGTTGTGCTGTAAAATAAGTTTTGTTTAAAATCAATGAATGTTAGACGATGATCAAGAGCCATGGTAAAACAAACACTTGGTCGCTACCACTCGGAGAAAGAGCAATGCTTCTGTTGCTAGTTCACGTTAACATCTATTGTTACTTTGTTACAGATTAGGTGAACGAAACAGTGACCGGTTATCTCACATACGATTTGATTATGAGTTGTGGGTGGGGCTTATAGGTTATGACGGATCCCACGCTTTCCTCAGCAGCAGTTGAAAAGTACGGTTACCCATTGGTCAACTAGAGTAAACATTCTTTGGAGGGACTAACAATAATAACAGGTGAATGGATTATGACGGCCCGTTCACAGTGTCAGGGGCTGATTAAAAATTTTTGACAAAGCATCGGGGTAAGCAAGACCACGCCTGGCAGGCTCAGGCAGGTAAAATTGACTGTGGGTTGATAAAATAAGGTGGCCGCGGCCGCATTGGACAGGTGACTGTTTTACGCTGTACACAGTTGAATTATATGGAAAAAACGCAAGGGGAAATGGAAAGTGGTCGTTTATACAGGTGGCCGTCATGGCAGGTTCAACTGTATACATACAATTGTATTGACAGGCACCTCTAAATCCCCTGCAGAATAATTGAGTTTTGCTAAACATTAAAAATCTTTTTAGCTGGCTGGATGCCGAGATGAAGCATTCAGCTTACAGTTTGGCATTAGTTTGTTGATAGGTCTTACTTTTGATGTGCACAAGGTAGTAGTACTCTGTGGTTTGAATTGTTTGTTAGTTTGTTTTCTTTTTAAACCCTATGCGTACGTCATGTTTTACTATCTGTGCCACCACTTTCCAAAGAGGAAATTTACTCGTTAATCCGTTCCGTACGCTTTTACATAGCAGTCTGTCAAAATTCTTTTATTTAGAAATACTGACAGTTTCAAAGAGATCTTCGCGCTCGAAGTATTCTAAAATGTGAAGACCAGGGCATGTGGACAGGGTTACAGGATTTCAGTATGTACCATAATCACTTTTTGCCTTTTCAGGTTGCAGCTGCATGCAGTAATGACAGGTCTGCTTCTGAAAAAGACATCTCCAGTGCATACTGTGCTATTGCTGAAATTTATTTGACAGACTGCTGGTAAGACATTTTGATCTCAATGTGCCAGATGTGTGTTGTATACACTCATGTGGGTGTGCATAACGTTAACTTTTGTGTGATTGTGTGTGACTGTGTATACTACTGGCACATGTCAAAATACCCAAGTACCTTTTTTTTTCCAGTTAGGTTAAAAATGTTTAGCATTGTGGATCACTGATAATATTGTGGATTTGTTTCTTACTTTTTTGTAAGTTTACTTTCATAGCAAGACAATTTTTAAAAAATGTATGTGTCTCTGTCAAAGAATTCAGAAATGTTTAAAGTAAACAAATCTTTTAAACCATGTAAATTGTTATTGAATAAATTGCAAATATTGGTCGTCGTGGATTCTTTGTGCTTTTTTTTAAATTTCAAATTCAAGTGCAGTAAAATATTTCAATACTAACACTAATATTTTCAACCATGCTTGTTCAGAGTTTTGTCTTATGACCCATTTTTTCTTCCAGCTTTGATGATCAAGCAGAGGAGAAGTGCAAAGAATTTGTGGAAAAAGCAATAGCATCAGATCCAGACAATGCTGAGGCATGGCAAGTGAAGGCCAGCTTTTTGATGTCAAAGAATGAAAAAGAGGTGAAATACATGTAGTTGTTTTGAAGTTGTATATATATTTATCTACCTTTTATGTTTTCATTATGTACATGTTGATATTTCATTGTGACATATAATTTTCATTTGTTATGATTGTTCTCATATCTCATGATCTGTGTAGGTCTATGAATATCCAGTTATGGGTCTGACAGTTGGCATACTCTACAGAGACAGGCTGTTTGTATTGATATGCTGGTATTTATATTTTGTGCTTCAATATACAGGGTGTCCAAAACGTTGCGCGCCATCCTGACACACACTTATTGTTACAGATGCTCAAAATGGGCACTATTTTCATTAATACAACTCTCTACTCTCCGCAAAAAGCTGTTTTTAACTTTCCTAAGGGTATCTGGATGGATGTTGCTGTGACTCTCTTTTGTGATTGCATGTCTCAATTCGTCAAGACAGCGTGGACGTTTCGTGTACACAACAGATTTTAGATGTCCGCATAAGAAAAAGTCAAGTGGAGTAAGATCTGGTGATCGTGGTGGCCACTCTACAGGCCCGGCCCGGCCCGTCCAGAGTAGAGAGTTGTATAAATGAAAATGGTGCTCAATTTGAGTATCTGTAACAATAAGTGTGTTTCTGGATGGTATGCAACGTTTTGGACACCTTGTATAATGGCATTTATTGTAAGAAAGTGAGATGCAGAAGTATGTGGAGTATGACAGTAATTTACCATACTGTGTAGATATCATTAGTTTTTCTTTTAATGTGCTGAACCACATCATTTCATTTTTTCTAGAATCAAAAGAAGAAATATATCTTACTTTGAATGAATTCTAACAAAACTACGGAATGTATTCCTCAGGAAGCAAAGGCGGCAATGAAGAAAAGTGTGTCGTTATGGTTGCCAAAGCTTCAAGCTGTAGACACGGGGGAACTTCCAGAAGAGGAATTTGATCCTGTTGAGGTAATAGGTTGCAAAGGTTTTTTAAGACTAACAGCTTCATCTTCTCCTTAGGAATGAGGTGATATTGAGCCCTATGCATGTCAGCTGTTGTTAATTTTCTTTATTAGGGCACTCTTTCTGTTACTTTTTGTTCACAGTGGCTCGACTGTTGATACAATTTAGCCCGTTTGTCTCATAGTTTGACTGCTGACAATGTTTATAAGGATGCTGCCTGGATTTTTATTTGTGAAGCGTTAATGGACTTACCTGTACCTCCAGTGCTCATGTGTTCATATCCATTCATTTATGAATCAGGAACCCATTTTATCGTGAGAATTGATTTGAATTCGTTATTCTGGGGTTTTTAACCAATGTATTATTAGAGATGTTGGGGGGGGGGGGTATGAAATACCCTGATGCTATACTGTATCTTTTATATTGCCATTTGGATACAGTTAATTAGATCGTGTTGCTGATCTCTCCTTCTGTTCATATACATCTGTGTTTCTTTCTATCAGCTGGTATGATGAAACCTTTGATATGTTTTTATAGAAAACACCTGTGAATAAATAGCCTACTTTTTATTTACTGAGCAGAACATTGTGAATTTTTAATCCATCATATCAGATCAGTGACCTGGCCCCAAGTCTGTGAAAGCTAGTCATTTTGCAAGTACTTTTAGTTTGTTTAGCATCTCTCTGGAAATCTTTACTTTCTTCAGATATGTGTGTGCCCACATGTTACTGAGTATGTGTGTGTTTGTGTATGCATGTACACGTTTTTATGTTAAAGTTGAATTTGAGAATGAGGAGGTTGTGAACTTGGAGTAGATTATGAAGAGAGGAAAATGTTCAAAACCTTGCTTTGAATGTTCTTTGAAAATAATAGATACAGCATTTGACATTGTAGTGTTTTGTTTTTATTGCAGGTCTGCTCGGTACCATATACTGCACGTGTTCAGAGTGGGAAAATATTGATAGAAATGGAGGAGTATGAGGTAATTTAATGAAAAGTAGAAATTTTATACTTCTGATTATAGCAGAGTCATGTCCACAGCAGATGTGACTTCTTAATATAAAAATGTCTATTCAACAAAGCTGTTATCAAAAGGCAATGATAGATACTTTGGAAAGCTAATTTCTCGAAAAAGTATCATTTTTTTTAGCTGCGCACTGGGTTGAAGAATGATGGGCTCCTATTGTTCTCTAGCACAGGAAAAGAAAAAGAAAAAAAATCCCCCCCCCCCTCCCAATGTTCTTTTTAGTTTTGCATTTTTTCAGCCAATTCAAAATTAAATAATATACAGTGGAGTCCGCTTGAATTGAAATCTGAATGATCGCCAGATTTTCCTTGGTATACCTGGGTTTTCTGGTTAGAGAGGTTGCCGAAATAGAAGGAAAAAAATGTGAATTTTCTTTTCTTTTGGTTTACTACTGTTCGAATTAACTGTTTGGTTTCAGCAAACTGGACTGTAGGTGTGTTGTTGAGTTCAGAGATCAAAGTAAGCTAGGTATATTGGAAAATGGGACGGTAGTCTGAAGAAATATTGCTTAATAGCACCTGACATTGTTGCCCTCAAACACTGTAAGTTCCATTTTTGAATGTTCAGTGTGTCTAGTCTACAAGCTTCCTTACGTTAAACCATTTACCTGGTTCAGAGATGTTCACTTTTGGGCATGATGAGTACAACCGAGCCTCATGTTGCATGCTATGTATTTTGTACTTGGATGTTTTATCATCATTGATTCTTGATTTTGTACATATTTATTTTTAAAATTTTATTTTTGTTCATCAGGAGGCTACTGAAGTTCTGGAAACATTACTTGATGAAGATGATGAAGTACCCGATGTATGGTACTTGCTAGGCTGGGCTAACTATTTGCATGGAAAGGAGTACTACAGCAATTCTAGACATTATCTCCAGAAAGCAAAAGAAGTAAGTAGCATGTACTGGGTATTTAACCTTGGTAGGTGTTGTTATGATGGTTTGCAATATTTCAGTATTTCAAAAGATTTGTGTGGGCTTGAGGTGCTTAAATTTAAAAGCTTCCTCCTGGGAGTGGTGATTTCTTTTTGTATACCAGTCTGAATCTTTCTGTTAACTAATAACAGTGTTGTCTTTTTCAGAATGGCCTTCAATATAATAATATTGAAGTTATATAAGTTATATAATATATTTATACTTAGGACGAGCATAAAGTTGGTGGAACAGCGGGGCTGGTCTTTCAACAGGGTTCCTCTGTTTTATAGCCCCTGCTGCCCATCATCAAGGAACATGATTCTGTTGTACGGTTTGAGTTTGAAAAGTGTCTTTTTGTTGGTGCTATACATGTACATGCACATGTATTCAGAGCGGATTGTCTTCTCTATCTCTATGTCTTTCTTGTGGGGGGGGAGATTATCAAGTAACCAACCAGTGAGTGCCGTGTGTTATGTGTACCATTGGCGGTCAATTCGCTGGCGGTACAACGGGAGGGAATTTGCTTCAGTTTAATGAGGACGGTCCAATTCAGGCGGATGGCGATGTAAAGGCAAAAATATTATGTTTATATAGGTGTCTCTTTTCGTACATTGGCCAAACCTGGCGGTAAACGGGGCTGGTGATACATTTGTCAGTGAGCTGTAAAAAAATGTGAATGTTTTTTTACACCCCCAGGTTTATGTGAAAGTGAAATATGAAGATGCTGAATTACTTGGTCACATTGATGAACTGATCCAAGAACTTGGGCCTGGTAAGAATTAATTTTTTTAATGAACAAAAAAGTCTTTAATTAGTTTCCTGAAGTGTCCCTTGATTTCTTGCTTGTTTTTATACAGTGGAACTCTGATTCAACGAAGTCGTCGTCATATGGTTGTAAAGGTTTCTTGACAAGTTTCTTGATGTAGACCTCTCCTTCTTACAGTTCATTAGAAAAAATAGGTGGTTTTTTTTCCTTTAAAAAATCTCTTAATCTTAGCCTCACTCAGGTAAAGAGCTATTTAACCTTCAATTTCGTTGAATCTGAGTGTTCTTTACTTCAGGTTGTTGTGGAGATAATTACAGGCTCCGAGCAAATAATGTATAATGTGTTCGACATTCTGAAAGAAAAGTAGTTTGGTTTCAGATAAGAGGCGTTTTTGTTTCTTTGATGCCTTACCGAAGAAATGCTGGACAATTCTAGGAAAATACTCTGAACTCTGCCAAACACACACTGTGTAAAAAGGCCCAATTCGTTCAAATGCATGCCTGTGTCATCTATCGTACATAGCATGCTGTTTGCCGAACAAGTTATGTTGCTGTGCAGAGCTTAGCATACAGCAATGTTTGATTCCTCAGTCCAGCGCGCAATTTCTTATATGTAGATCTTTGTCAAGACTAGCTTATCGTTGTAACATTGACCACTAGCTGGGGAATCCAACTTCTTTTGTTCAATCTCAGTTTTCGTTGGATCCAAGTTCCACTGTACTCTCATTTACAAAGACAAAATAATGCCAGTAGTATACAGATCTGGCAACTTGTTTTTCTGAGCTATGTTGTGAAAGTCCTGAGTGCCACAAGTCCGTAAAAACATATGGTTGTAAAGGTTTCTTGACAAGTTGCTTGAAGTAGACCTCTCCTTCTTACAGTTCATCAGAAAAAATGTGTTTTTCTTTCCCATTAAAAAATCTCTTAGTCTTTGCCTCACTCAGGTAAAGAACTATATATTGACTCAATTCCCACTCCTTTACTACTTTGTCTGTTTGTTAAGTGAGTCTTTAGGTAGGCAGTTTAGTGAACGCGCTCGCGGCAAGGTGAATGGGCAGCGATACGCTCTGTAGACTTTTGTGGCTGGCGATGAAGCCTCTAGATTCCCTGTCTAGCAGTCAGAGAGCCTACATCTGCTAGATCAAACTTATTATGTGTTTAGCTTTTGAATTGAAATAAAATTTGAGTTGCACAGGTCTAATTGATTTTAGATCCTGCATGTAGCTATATTTTCCAGTTAGTAAATTTCATCCTTACAATCTCTTTTACTTTAATTAAATCCATTTTTTTCTTTCTTTCAAAAAGCAGTTTTGGGCAAACTCACTTGTAGAGTTATTATTAGCCTCTACTTAGTCTCTCAATTAATATTAAAATGCTAATATTTTCTCTCTATTTTTTTTTTTACATTACTGTATCAAATTGTGCCATTTTCTTTGATATGAATGGCCAAAGAATAGCAGGAGTATTTTTAGACTGAGTGTCAAACTCATTAGTTCTATTTTTACAATAAATTGTGCTCATGAATAAAAATTGCTAATTGATATCTGAAAACAATTGGTCACTTTTTAAGGACAAGCGGGCTAACCCATATTTTGGGGGTTTCCAGAAACCTTAACCTACACCAAAAGTGGGCATTGCCATACCTATAAGAGAAGTTTGGTTTCATTGCTGTGTATATTTGTTTGGTTATAGAGAAAAGTCTCCTTGTCTTTTACTTTTAAAGAAACTGAACAGTGGTCCAAAAACTTTACCTTCGATTTTCTCAAAACAGCATTTTTCGGGATAGCCCCCTTGTGCTTAAAAGCGACCAATTGTTATGAATAATGAAGAAAAAGTTGTGAAAAATAAAAGTTAATAAGTCAATTATTTTACAAGCTCACTTGACAAAATGTTGTTCTACAGATGATGCAGAGGAGACAGAGAATGGAACTGTTGGAAATCTGGAGATCGAGAGCTCTGGAGAAGAAGACATGGATCAGTAACATTTTGTTTTATTGATGGAAATGTAGATGAATGTCTGTTGCTATGTATGCATTTTTCTGGCTTACTGAAACTATGTCACCGATAAATTAATAAAATGTGAAACTTTTCACTTACGTTTTGTTCCATTTTATCTTCATGTCATGCATTATGAGTGTATCAAAGAGCATGAATGAATTGATAGTTCATGCTATTGCTCTTGTTGACAAAAGTGTGGTCTTACAGGTTAACCAATGGGCCATCATGTAATAAAACAATACAGTTGACTCTGCTTGAGTTGATCTTTAGTTAAGTTGATCTTTTTCTATGGTCCAAGCACTTCTTCCTAACACTTATTACAGATTGCAACAGTTAGTTGAACTTCAGATAAGTTGATTTTTTTCACTCCCCGACTCATCCATAGTCGACTGTATATATATTTTTATTGATAAGGAAAGCAACCAAGAGTTTAAACATTCTTTTGCAAGCCTATGCAGATTTGTGGTACAATACGATACAGTCACAGAAAACAGCAGAGTAATTTGTTGCCTCTCCCATGGCCAGAGCTGTTACCATCTACTGCTATGACATTGATGACAAGAAAGGTACGCTAAGATGTTTGGATCAAATATCTTTTTATTCAAAGAATTAAAGATGCATCAAAAGGTTTACATGTTATTATAGCAGTGAATCAAATGACTGACAAACTTACCATGAGTAAGTTGTTTTGGTATGTGTAAAGCCAGCAATACCCTTCCCATCAATTGAGCAATGCAAACACAAAACATGAGAAATAGTACATCATTTTAGTGTCTATATATATATATCTATTATAACTCTTACATGTTTGCACAAGTACAAATTTCTTTCTTCTTGTAAAATCAATTTCATAGCTATTTCAACAGTAAAGTTCTATGGAAAATCAGACCACAATCCGTTAAACAAGCCCTAATTTATGGTGTGGAGCAATGCTGCACTCTTGAGCATACTAAAACTGGGTGGCTTTTACAATCACTTATGCAGTTGAGGTATTGTATCAAAGTCAAAGCTGAATAAATTTTGCAAAAAATCAGGACAATTTAATAGAATCACCTCAAAGCACATTGACATACCGAGAGTAAAATGTCAGTCATGCTGGGGAGAAAAAAAAGAAAGCGAGAAATATGTGAAAGGTAGGACAGAAAAAGTCAAAATCAGCAAGGACTTCTGACCAAACTGCTTGTTAACCCCTTCATTGCCTCATGATATACCTGGTACATCTGGAACAGGTTTTTTAGCCTTGCGCTGTACTACGGAAGTTGGCAAAATTTTCCCTCCCTGGTTGTTTATATGGTTGCTTTTAAGGACAAGCGGGCTTACCCAGATTTTGGTGGGTTTCCAGAAATCTTGACCAACACCAAAAGTGGGCATTGCCCTACATATAGGAGAAGTTTGGTTTCATTGCTGTGTATATTTGTTTGGTTAAAGTTAAAGAGAAAATTCTCCTTGTCTTTTACAGAAACTGAACAAGGGGCAACAAGTTTACCTTAGATTTTTTCAAAACGGCATATTTCGGGAGAGCCCCCTTGTGCTTAAAAGCAACCGTATGTGAGGCGTACTGACAAAATGAGTTGCTTCTCACAGTCTACATATAATGGAGATATTGGCCAAAAATCGACATTAGAATTAGAGTCACATTTGTAGTTTTTTTTATTTATGCCATATTCTGTAACTATAACCTGTCTTTCATTATTTCATATTTATAAATTGTAAACACTTCAACTTTAAGCGTGATGTATAATTTCCTTACGCCTTGAATCCAAGAAGTAATTTTGTCAGCACGCTTCTCATATAATGTTACATTTACATGTACGTCCTGCTAATCATCAGTCTTTAATTCTTTTGTACGGAGAATTGGCCACAAGCATAGCGTTGATTTGTATTTGGGAATTTAAAATATGCAGGGGATGAGGAAGGTGACACTATCAAAAACCTGGGGTCTGAATATATGTCATGAGTGGGCTAGATCTAGACAGCGAGTTCACTAGCACTGATGCATGCGACTGCTGTCCTGGCTTTTGAGCTCAGCTGAAAATCGGTGGTGACAGTAGGAATGCACGTTCCCTGGCAAAGAAGGGGTTAAGTGGACGAAAGTGATGTGCAATTAAATATATATATATGCATACAGTCGGCACGGATAACTCTGACACATCCAGGATTGACAAATTGATTTGATACATCTGTTTAGTTTTAGTACATAAGAGGTTTTATGGCGCTCGAAACTGCATAAGGTCATATGAGCGCCAAGGCGTGGATGTCAACAGAAAAGTCCTTACAGGGCATCAGACTTACTCTGCTCACCTCTCTAGCTTCAACAGCACAAAGTCTGCTTCGACTATCAAGGTACCCCGGAAACAGTAGGTCACAAGAGTGTTACAAACATACAAAAGAAGTAGAGGAAAAATGACAATAGTAAGGGTTAGGAAAGATAAAGCAGCAGTTCCCTGCTGTAGATCAGGCAGTTATGAGCGTGACATTGATGAATCAGCCCATTTACAATTCTACTGTGCATGAACGAGAAATGTCTCCCCTTTGGGAATGGCCTAAAGACACTTCAGTCAGTGGCACCGCCCCGGGGGGTGATACATCTGTAATGGCGTTAACTGTGTATGATAAAAAATTGAAGAGATATCAGTTACGGAATAGCAAATTGTACAAGCTATCAGTCGAGTTTTCCGTGTTCATGTAATCTGTGCCCGACTGTATTTAGATCAAATTGAAGACTGAATAATATTAAATATTTTTGTTCAATAAAATATATATATTGATGAATAAAATAAATACAAATTATTTTTTAATTGAAAAAGCAAAATATGTTGCTCTCACAGGAACTTGTTTATTGGGCACATCAGGTTATGCTCACATCACACAGCACTAGCTAATACTGATGTGTGTGGAAAAGAAAGCTGTAGGTTTCTTCTTTTCCAGAGATTTGTTTGTGTGTTTCAGAAAACAATATTATTTACCTTCAAAAAGACATTTAATCAGTTTGTGTGGAAGAGCATTATAGTATAGAGTCACAGTGCCACACAAACAATTTGAGACATCTAGACATAATCAAAGGGTATTTCAGTAATGGGAAACGGCCACATCACAGAGAGAAATATTTTCAAATATGAGATGGAAAGAAAACGTACCCACATCCTAGGACAGTCTTTCATCACTCCCAGCAGTATCATAGCTGCCAATCAATCGGTATGAAAAACGCATTCATTTGATAAGTTGTCCCTTAAGGTCTGCGCATGGAAATCCTTTTTTTTTGTACAGGATAGGAAATTACGTATTCTCTGTTTTCTAATATTGCTCCACACAGACTTGCTGATGTGGAAGAAAAACTAAGATCTTTAAATTAAGACTGCATTTGCTAATAATGATTATGAAGCCTTTGCATCAATTGGAGGCTGTAGACTGCAGGTCTTCTTTGGAATGCTTGAATTTATTGAAAGCAGAAACGTGTATTTGAGAAGGGGGGGGCGGTGTTACTTCGCCAGTGCTAACCATCTAGATCTGCTGCATGTGTAAAGTCTGTATTTTGGTTTTGAAAAGTTGGCAGCTATGCAGTATCAATTCGTTTACAATAAACTGCTTCCTGATGGAGCACAAAAGATTGTGAACCTTCTGCTTATTACATTTTACATGACAGTCCACTTTTTAATTAAATTCTAGAAAAATTGAAAAGAATTGTTAGTGCTTTTAATGCTTTGTTTCATCAACCATACTAAGTTTTTATAGTTCAGTCACCTTTTTTTAAACCTGTCCCTTGAACTTATCTCAAGGGATCTTCTGTACTTTATGTGGATTAATCAGAAAAAAAAATATTTTAAAGGTTAAGTTTAACTCTCAACATTTGCATGGAAACCTCCATACACTGACACCCCCCCCCCCCCCCCCCCCCACACCACAACCACACACAGCAATGGTCTTCTCTAGAAGTAAAAGACAGCTGTGAGACTATATTATGGACATCTAAGAAAAGTAAAAATAGAAACAGCAAAAGATACTGGCTAAAATTGTCAAACTTCAATAATAGCTGAAAGATTTTCAACATGCACATCTTCTTTTCCTCTTTTGTAAACTTAAGAACAGACAAAATAGCTGTGAATAAATTATGCATGGCATGTATTACAAGGTTATGCTAATGTTACAACAAGCAGCAAATGGCACTGAAAAATCAAGGCAAATAGTAGATACGTTATATGGCATTTGCATCAGGAGCAAATAAAAGGAAACAGAAAATCGGAAATATAAAAGTACATCATGTACATAAACAAGAAATGTATTATATTAACCTTTACAGCCCCAGTCACATATACAGTGGGTGTCGCATTCAACAAGGTTGCCGGGACAGGCTTGTTGTCCTCGTTGGATCCGACCTCTCGTTGAACGTGACTAAGGCTAAAGAAAAGAAAGGGGACTAGTTATTATACTATACGATGTGCCAATACCAGTAATTCCAACAGTTATTCTCCCTGATGACAAAAATCTCAAACAGCATAAGTGTGCGCGTGTTGAGCGAGGCACACTAGATCTAGCAATACAATGTGTTAGGAATGGAGGATGGGCCTTGTGTTTTGCCTGAGATCGAGAGAAAGGAGAAAAATTCTTTGCTTTTGGCGCCGCTAATTGTTTTTATTTGGTTATCGCAACCTCGTTAAAAGCGACTTTGCTCGTTATGAACCTCGTTGGAGCTGACGTTCATTTACAAAGAGATAGAGAGGGAAAATACGGGGGATTAAGGATTGCCTCGTTGGAGCCGACTTCTCGTTGAATGCGACACCTACTGTATTTCCTTCACAACTTCTCATTCCTCCAGGCCCAAAATATATATAATATTTTTTCCCCTCAAAGGGTGCCAGACATCTCAAAACTTGTCCCATTGTTTTACCATATTCTATCTTACTCTCTCTAAAAAAATATTCAACATGTTATCTTCTATTAAAACTTCTAACAAAATCAGTCAATTTTTTTTTTATGTTGGCACAAAATTGTGGACACGGTATTGACTGGGCCTGATGAGTCACCAGTATTGTTACCTGGGCCGGAGGAAAGCTAGAGTTAAAAGTAGCCTGGTGCAGTAAGGCCTCACCTCCTCGTCACAGTAAACAAGAAAACAGGATAATGGGAGGAATATCAAAATAGCTGAAAATTGAAGTTTTATTGCACAAAAGAAACTTATTTCCATATACATCACTGTCCCAACAAACAATAGGCGTGAAATATTATTAGCTATGTTTTACCAAATAATGAAAAGTCTTTACATCAGCACACACAAAATCATTTCAATCGTTGCATGGATCTTGTAGCCTACTTTACAGTAGCCTACACACTGATCACTGTGAAATGAAAAATAATCTAGGTTGAAATTTGTTTCATTCATATAGTAATAAATGAATCACACAAATTTCATTTGACGTGACAAACGTAAAAGAAAAATCCGGAAGTCTCACTTCGCATCATTAAAAACCACATTTTTCACATGGCAATGCCTGGAACACTTTTCAGATCTATGGGCAACAAAAATAACAAGAAAAACCTACTGTAGAAATGAGACTTAATAAATAATTGTCCGACCAACATATGGGGAGTGATGCAAAATCATAACGACACGAATGTCTAGCTCCTTCAGTCCTACAGACTTCATCAAATTTGGCCACAAGAAGAAACAACAGAATAGATAACAAAAAACAAACAAACATGGAAATGTAGAGAAAAAGCCCTACAATTTTTTTCGTCATGTCATTTATATCATAGGCACATGCAGTCTGTACTTGCTCAAATTAAAGAGGATTGTAAAACACTGACAGCAGTAGAGAACTAAACAATAAAAGTATACAAATGTATATATTATTTGTCTACCATTAATAACTAACATTTCCACTAGCCTGCTTTTCATTATTATGGAACACAAGCTGATAATTTGTATACACTCAAAGGTGTAGTTTTTCAAAGCCATACAATTAGCATTTTGAATAGGAGACTTCTGATGATTCGATTTAAAAAATACAGAAAAAATTGCTCCACTTAATTTAGTTGAAAAACAAAGATTGCCAATCAAGTCTCAAAACACATGAACAGATAACTGCTCTCTTGAAACATTTAGCGTTGTGGCATATTCACCCTAAAAAAGCTGATACTGATAAATGAAAAAGACAAAAAACATCTTATAGTACTGAATGAGAGGCATACAAGTATTTTACAAGATATACTTTTTATGTTCATTGGAATAAAGGAGATCCTTGGTCCCGTGGCTATCCAACAAAAGCCAACAAATCAGCATCTACAGTACACAATATCGTGGAATGGAAAGAGGTTAACATTTCTCCAAGAAACAATTGCCCTGACAAAATCTATGTAAAGGAAATACTCTGTAAGACAAGTTGCAGTTCTTCCATTCACTCCCTTGGAATGACACAGATTCATAAAAGAAAGAACACCTAATATACACTAAAAGTAGCCTACTATTTCAAATCACTGGGTCCCCTGAAATGCGTACCATATAGAAATCAGGACATAATATTACAAAATCGCACAACAAACTGGCGTGTTATTTCTAAAACGAAATATATTAGATCTCAGCAGGAAATGCTCTTTGATTACTCCTTCCACAGGAGTGCAAAAAAAAATCTACAGAGTAAAGTCTAGGCATTGAGGCATCAATACTTGTGGTAGAGTAAGGAGCACAATCACTCTCTGAATAGCTAATAATACCTTAGGCAGAACTACTCTTCGAACAGCTAGTAATACCTTGTGCACAAAGAAAATAACTGTACAAAAGACATACTACGTATTAAATACACATTACACAAAAGGTCAGCATTTCACAATCGCTTTTTTCAAGGCCACATGTGTTACATCAGAATGGTGCAGTTCATCTGTTGTGTGTTACGACGTCTCATTGTTATCATTTATTGCCCCAAACAGTAAAGTTATCCAAAAAGTAGGGAAAAAAGAACATAAACCATTCAAAAAGGGCGATGTGGGTGAAGAGAAAATAAAAAAATCTTTGGCTTTTACCAATACTTAAAGACAAGTAAAATTCTAACCTGTCATGATAACAAGGTTGTAACACTTGAAAAAATCTTTAAAAAGGACCTTTTGCTAATGTTTTCTAATATGTCCCCATTAACATCGACATGACAGAAAAGAAAGATGTGGAATGGACATGGTTTATGATTTGCAGAGTATAGTAATCATATTCAGCACAGATTATTGACAGAAGAAAAAGGAGATCTCTTAAAAATGTCAAAACCAATCTCCCCCCCCCCCCCACCAAAACCAATACAAAAAGTAAAATTAAACCCATAAAGGAAACAAATGGTGTGAGGATTACACTGGTGATGTTTGTAATTTGTAGAGATATTTGCGATATAAATGCACACAGTGATGAGAGGCATAAACAGTCGAAACAAGAAAAGCATTGGTAGACCCCCCCCCCCTCCCCCCCCAAAAAAAAAGTGAAAATTGAAGTTAATATTTCTCAAATACTAGGGCAGATGAGAAGTTTGAAATATGCAGAACTTGTGATTAAAAATGCTTGCAGGTACGAGGATTTTGATGTTAACATTAAAAGGTTACCAACATACAGACCAGTAAAACAATAGCAAATAACTGACTGCTGAGATCATTCCGCAAAATAAACCAAACAAGCTCTTGACACAGCTGTGTAGAGATATCAAAACTACACATGTCAAAGATGTGCTGGGTACATTTTTAAGTTGTTTGGTTGAAATCTAAAATTTGATGCAAATATTAAGAAAAGTTCAAGTTTTAATGAAAATTGCCCAGCAAGCAATTTAGAGTCTTGCTAAATTTGTACAGTAAGGTATAATCAAAGTTCCAGCAAAATCGTTTCATGAACATTGACAAAAATTTGTTTCGATTCAATTATTGCACTCCTAATGCTACTAATTATCAACATCAAAAGCGAAAGAAAAAAAAAAAGAATGAAAACTGTGGTCTTCTGAGCTTTAGTCAAATTCATATATTACAAGAGTACCAACCTAATTATCTTACTGACATCAGAGGGTAAAACTTATCAATAAATATCACTTCCTACTCATTTTTTAACATAATTTTAAATCCATTACATTTGATTATTTTCAATATTTTAACGTTGCTCATGATGTTAAAATGATCTTGATGAAGACAAGATTACAAACAGAAAACATGCCTCAATGACTAGCATTTTTATTCAGTCAAAATGATGAAGAAGATAAAAGTAACTTTGAGTACAAACATAGATTTCTACTCATGTCTGTAGACTTTATCATATCTGTGGCTTCTTTTCAAAATGCTAAATAAAATGTTGACACAAAACTCATATTCAATGACCTTACTGTATCATCAGTAAACAGAAGCCTCATTTCAAATATTTCATAAAAACAACCAAAGCCTCATTTTGAATTGTATATGAACACATTAATTTCATAAGCAAAATGCATTTCACCAGATGCACTGTCATATTGCAAATAATAACCTAACCAATACAAAAAATATTCTGATAGCAGCAACAACATAACAATCTAGAACACACCATCAACCTGAGTAAACCAAGAAAAGCAAACATTTTCAGTCTATGCAGATACTTATTAGTCAGATCAGATTAAAATTCAAATAGTTAAATAAAGGAAAAGCAAAAATGACAGTCTGAAAATGTATCACAATTATCAAATTATATATATATATATATATATATAATATGCACTTAATTTGTAGGAACCTCATACACGATTTTCTCCCTCATGGATGATAGAGTGTAGCCTATCAAGCACTTGATCAATGAATGGCCTTTCTTGAGGATCAGACTTGAGCATCCACAGGATAATATCATTTATTTTGGAGGAATACCTGTGGAAGAAGGAGAGTGATGTCAAACTGAGAAAAGAGCAGCTGGTAATCAATTAGGAGATGATATTGTTCATGACAATCATGAGTAAAGGAAGGCATGAATCTTTAGCCACACTATAGAGAAAAAAAAAAAACTTTGTCGAAAAGCAATTCTTCATTGAAAAAAAAATTTGTTTTATTAGATGATCAACTTCTGCACAAATAACATACTACCCCGAAAACAATGTTACATTCAGCACCTAATCTCAGATTGGAAAAATCAATAGTCACTGGTAATTCCCTAATTCAAAGACTAAATAATATGTGACCAAGAAACTGTGTTTTTCTAATAACAACTATTATTTCCACTTACTCGGACGAATCTGGGAAATTAATTTTTCCAGCCATTGTGGCAAGGGCTAAACTATCTCCTCTCTGGTAGGCACTTTCAAATGGAGACTCGAGATATGCAAGGGCATACAGCACACAACCTAATGACTGAAACATTAAAAAAAACAGTGAGTAAGTCATTTGCATGTACAAAATTTAATTTAAGGAGCGAATGACGCATTTTCAGAAAGTATTCAAATACTTAAAATCATGATTAATGTAAGTGGGTCTCCTTTTTAAACCATTATCTAAGGAAAAAAAGAAAAAACCAAAGATAAAAAAACTGAAAAGCCCAACATATATATATATATAAGAGAATAAGCATGAAAAATACGAACTGTTTGTCAAATCAAAAAATTAATTAACCACTAAAGCCTCTCCTTTTTTCAAGTAGGGGAGGGGGGGGGGGGGGCGGGCGTGCATGCCATCCACTAACAGAGCCCTAAAAAGTCACAAAATTTGAATCAACTCACCAGACACTGAAGAATACGTAGTTATTAGTCTGAGGTTACAAAACTCACAACAACCCAAACATCCAGTCAGACACAGATAACTCAAACTGACCATGAAAAATTAAAGTGAAAATCAGTCAGAGAATAGCAAATTGTACGAGCTATCTGCGATTTTGAGTTTACTGAGATTGTGTTATCCGTGTTTGACTGTAGTTTAACTAGTCAAATGTCAAATTTGATACAAAAACCACAGCATTCATAAGTCATTACCCAGATGTCTGTTCTTTCATCGATTGAGGAGTTTGTTTCCACAGTGAAGAGTTCGGGGGCTCTATACAACATGGAGCACCTTTCTGCTGCAGTATCCTGAGAAGATATTTAGGGAGTAAAATAAAAAATAACTCATTAAGACTTTTGGAAAGAAAAAATGAAATCCAAGAAGAACAAACTATAGCCCCCACCAAAAAAAAAGTCCCCTTACATCAGGCATTGTCCTTAGTACAGTCTCGACTTTCAGTAGTAATAGCAGTTGTCAGTGAAAAATTATTAAGTTCCATCATAACAGATTTTTTAAAAAGAAAAAAAACCCGGAAGCATCAGTAACATTAACTCAAAATATATCTCCTTCTTCCAACATGTGAAGGCTGTCCCAGAATTAACAGGAAAATTGCAATATATTTACATAATTTGAATAACTTTTCTTATATCTTTCAATTCTGTTAAACATCTTTTTGTAAATCAGGGCATCCTCAATTTGGGAGCACTATTAAAAAAGGCAGCAAATTTCTCTTTTTGACTTAGATTTGCAAGTTTTCAAAATTATGGGCAAGATGGGGAATAGAGGGAGTAAAGAAAGTGAGAATTTGAAGACCAAGGCTCCGAATATGTTATTATGAGTGGGTCAGATCTAGAAAGCAAGTCCACTAACACTGCTAAGACATGAGAAACTGCTGTCCTAGCAAACAAGCTTGGCTGAAAATCAGTGCTGACAATTGGAACACCCCCCAGCAAATAGACAGTTAACCAAACATGTGTTCTGAGATACTGTGCCTCCCCTTAAACTTTGCTACATCTGAGGTTTCAGTGAAAGGAAGTTATCACAAAATGGCTACAGTGGAAACCATATATAACAAGCCCGATTATAACAGAGATCCGGTAATAACAGGAATTTTTTAAATCCCTGTTTTTTTCCTACTCTTTGTCTCTATTAAAAGTTATCAGCAATAATAGGGCTTCATCGGAGCCCAATCGGTTATAGCAGGGACAAAGGCTCGTTAACAATGTGAAAAAAGTAAGAGACAGAGAGAGAGAGAGAGAGAGTAACGCAGTGATGGAGCAAGCCCACGCAAGCCACGCCACTACAAGCACACGCAGTGTGAGAAGCGAGAGAGGGCTGCGGTGTGGGTACAAGTGGCTAGGAAAACTACCCAAGAATAAATACAGCTGGATTAGTCCACAAATGCTTACTTCCCTTGCATTTCTGATTTAACAGGGATCTGATACAACAGGACTTTTCCCCTGGTCCCACCATCCCTGTTATATCAGGTTTCCACTGTACTTAAGATACATAATTCTTCGAGGACATTTATTTCAAAAGCATCAGGATGAAATTCTCAATACAAATCAAATATCTGCCTTAGTTTTATACTCCTTAGCAGAGTTCCTAATCAAATGCAGGGTGCATGAATTGACATGTTCCCGGTGAATATGTGTGAGGCATTATGGCGAAATCAGGCGGTCGTCAAAATACTGGAATTTTTTTTAATGGCATTTTTGTGGCTGTAGAGCATTTTTTTTCCGAATTTGCTTTTTTTGGCTCAACACATTGTGTGTCAATTTAAAAACACATTTCTGAGTAGATTTTATCTGGGTCGCTAACAACAACGAGTAGATTTTACTCAAAAACATTGATCAAAGGCACAGAAATTGTAAATTTGCAGTTTACAAGGACATTCAAGCTTTGAAAGTCACCAGTTTTGGCAGCCATTTTCTCGCTAATCTAACTCTGCCACCAGGGGATACACCTCCTTCGATCGTAAATCTCTCAACTGCTATTCAAGATAGATGGGCTTTTTTCATAAAAAGCGAGACAAAATGGACAAGCTATAATATAATACCAATAACTCCATATGTCCCCAAAATTGACGAGTGCCTAATTCTGCTGCTTCGTGACACATATATACATTATAAGTATAAGTCTATCACTTTTACCTGCAAAGAGGTAGCTTGTCGTGCAGTATGAATCTCCATACGAGCTGGGGCTGCTGATCCCAAGTCCATGACAACAGGAGTGCCATCATCGTGAGTCATCACGTTGTCAGGTTTGATGTCTCTGCAGGATTTACTCAAATTCATGAAATCGGCATGACATTAACTTAATCAAAAACATGTTCACATTTTCAGGGAGAATCGATAGTTACGCAAGCTTCTCATTTTTCAAAATTTTAGTATTTTGTCATGTCAGTACATTTGTGTACATGACAGACAAAGCATACTTTTTTTCAGCAAGGTGTGCACAATCTTAAAAGGGCTATTTCAAGGACAACAAATTAAAACATGGTCATGACTAGCTATCCTTTAAAAGCAATTTAATTGATGAAGTAAACCTCAGCAAACTCAAACTTGAAAGATAGAAAAAGTAGACCTTTACTCATTCACTATGTATTATTTTCGGCTTGTGGACGAATTTTTTTTCGGGAGGGCGAATGAGATGATGACTAGTGAGCAGTTAAAAGGTCTTTGGGGCCACAAATTCAAATAAGTATCAACATATTATATACCAATATTTCCAGTATAGATTGTAGAATACATCTGTAATGTTTATTTATGTATTTTTCAACTTTGGTTCTTGTAAGAGGCGATTATGCAACACAACTTTGATTGTATGCGGATAAAATTTGAAAATATAAACTTTATAATCTTTGGTGAAACTAAAAAAATATGCTGGTACCTAGTCAAATGATACATCAAAATAACCATAAATGAATATAGAACTGGAAAATAAGGAAAAGTTTGCAGTTATTTACATACATTCCATAATATTTGTACATTTGGATCATAACATCCGAATATTGAAAAAATAATTTTTTTTTATAATCTTGAAAAACGATCACAAACAGAAAAAAACCCACTCGTATCTTATATGGAATTATTCAGAATTGCATTTGGAATAAACTTATACAGGTCTTGAGTGGCACTTTTTGTGTAATTTCATTTTAAAAAGTAGTGATTTTGGGTAGAAAAAAATATTTTGACAATTTAGATCTAGACCTAGATCTGGCACTCAAAAATATTGATTTCTCAATAACAGTGCATTGGCAATATGAGTCCAATTGTATCAATATTATAAAAAAAGAGTCCTACACTTCTTTAGTGGGCAAAATAATAATAGATTTTGTTGTGTAAAATTACTAAGACTGGTGTCCGGGCTATAATTTTGGCATCGTGATAAAACAAAGTCGAATAAACTACGAAATCGCGTTTCAAAACTGAATCTAAACTTCCAATTTTCAGTGGAAATGCTTGACCCGGAAGTCAACATTATATTATGACCTTTATTTTAACATGGATATGTGGATTGGAATAGAATCTAAGCTAAAATTGAAGGTCAGTTCTCCAGCCGCCGGGGGCGGCTTAGCGTACTGACGGCACTTTAGCCGCACCACCCCCCACGGCTCGGCGTAGCGAATGAGATAAAGAATTTTTTACCAAAAAAGACAAAAACATCACCCCCTCCCACCCCCCCCCCCCCCAAACAAGAAAGAAAAGATACTGACCTGTGTGCATATGGGGGATTATGATCATGTAATGCTTTGATCCCTTTGCAAATGCCAAGCATGAGCTTCCAGATTTCATCTTCTGTAAATTTTTCTTTCTTTAATTTCAGGGTGTCTATTCGATCTTGAAGGGTACCTCTCTTATAGAAGACAAAAAAATAAAAATAAATATGAAACCAGTTTATGTAAATTGAATTCGAGTTCAACATATATATTTAATACAATGAATCATATCATAAAGTGTAAAAATAAACAGACAAAACACTGGCATCTGTGGGGCAGCAGTTGGATGCTTCTCCATTGCATGCAGAAGACATGAGTTCAATTCCTGTGTGAGGAGAATTATTATCGAATATCTTGGTCTTTCTACTGGGACGATATGGGGTATCGATCTTTCAGCTCCGGTTGGCCCTGACAGAAAGGATTAAAGCCCCACTCCTAAATGATCGAAACTCACTGTGTTAATGGGGGTGTAAAAAACACCAGAATTTTTAACTATAAACTAAACTACTTCTCCCTATACCAAAAAATTAACAGGACAAAAACCATAATATTGTACAATAATCTCAACTCTTTCACCCACAAAATCCAAACAACAGTGTCTTGTTTTTCTGAGCTACTCAACTATTAACTCTGAGAAAAGTTTTCAATACTGGAGCCAATGTTCAAGTATACAGTCTGGCATGCACATAACAAACACACGCAAAAAAACACACACTGTTCACACATAATAATGAAGCCCTCACATAGAGTTTAGTGAACAGATTTTCAGGTCTCAAATTTTTTCTTACACATTATATTCTTAATTATTCTTTGTATTCAAAACACATACATTGTGTGAATTCTACATAACAAAAAGATTTTCGCATCCCAATTCCGCTATGAGTCCTTGCTAGACTGCAATATGTATTTTTCAAAATTCCTTAAAAATGACCAGTGCCATATTCTGGACTTTGTGCACTCAAAGATGCAAAATAAAGACAACGAACATAGTTCATCTTGAACCATCTATTCCCCTGCTAATCTCTGGAAAACTCTATAGAGCAGCATCTATTAAATAGATATAAATATTGCCCAAATATCCTGACCTAAATGTCAAAGCTTAACAATGTACACAAAAAAATAAGCCATCCTCTGTTCATCTTTACTGGAATTTAGTAATACTTGTAGTAAGTTTGAACACGAAAATTCTGAAAAATATAAAACTCCCACCGACAAACACAGGACTTACCCTATACAGTGGTATAACTAGGAAGACTTCACAGGTTATATCAACTGCTTTAGAATATTGCCCGACTTTATGGAAGGAGTGACACTCCAGTGGGATGACATTGGGATGAGCTACTGCCCGCATCACCTCCACTTCTTGTAGGGCTATCTGCTCTTCTTCTTTTGAATGACAAAGAATTCTCTTGAGGGCATACGTCTTGTGGGAAACAGCATCTTCTACCAAATCAACGTAGCTGAAACCTCTGTAAAGTAAAGAATCAAGGAAAATTGTGACTTGTTGCTTATACAAGAAAAATGAAGACATTGTTGAATCATTTTGAAAAGACAAGTAATTTTAAAAGCTATTTTTGCTTGACATCACCATAGGATGGACATTCATATTAGTCTGTATTATGTGTGGCTATAATTAATTTGATTATGACAGATCAGTAGAGTCAGAGTTTACAATGCCAAGGGCCAAGGCAAGGCAACAGCCCACTCTACTCTACACTACAAAGTATACTGGATTCTCGACAGAACACCATCTTTTCACATGAAGCTGCAGCGAGCGCCTAGCACACCCCTGTGATTGGCTCAAATATAGATGACGTATCTCCGCCATCTATTTTTGTCGTCTTTCAGGGCTTCCCTTGTCAGTTGACTAGATCTCACCGTGGCGGGTCCGCATCATGGGCTACGTCACTAGGTTTCATCGCCGACTGCTTGGGCTGTGTGTGCGCGCGCTCTTGCGTGTGTGTGTGTGTGTACAAAACTTTGAGGAGAAAGTAAATATCTAGAAGAATAAATAATATTATAATACTAATTAATTTTTTAAAAAGACAAAGACGGCGAAATCTAGTCAACAGTTACTCGCGAGGGAAACCCAAGAGTCTTGGGGGGAAACCCCTGAAGACAACAAAAATAGATGGCGGAAATACGTCATCCATATTTGGGCCAATCACAGAGGTGTGCTAGGTGCTCACTGTAGCTTCATGTCATCTTTTTTCTTATTCAATGAACTAGAATCTAGATCTAGATAAAAAACTATTAAAGTGCATATATGGCCTAATTAGAGGGGGTGACAGCGACCCCAGACAAGAAAGAGAGTGGTAGAGAGTAATTATACTAGAATAGTAATAGATGACGGGGTGAGGATAAAAACTGAATATGGGGTGAGAATAAAATTTATATTATTCTAACCTCGGGTGAGAATAACGACAGCCTACTATTCTCACCCATTTTTTTTGTTTCGAGCATCATAGGACCCCTGTCACTGAGCGCTCCAGGCGACAAAACTCGCCTCCCTCCCTCTCTCACTCTACTGAGCGCGTGAGGTGACTAAAATCGCCAACGAGCAGGCCAGCTCTTGAGCGCGGGAGGCGAATGTTGTCGATTATGGGGAAAACCTTTATCTTTTGCCCAAATAGCGTTACCTTTTGTTTTACTTATTTTAAGTCTAAGTGTATTTTAGTTCTGTAATGGAAAATTTTACTCTTGAATGGTTTAACAAATATCAAAATTAAGAAAAAATATAAGCCTAGCCTAGGCCTAGGGTCAAGGCACTGCGTTCCTTAAAAATAATCGTAGGTTCTTCTGCTAGGGAAAGCAATTTAAACATATTTTTTGGGGCCACCTCTATTCTCACCTGGAGTGAGAATAGTGCAGGCAAGTCTTGTGGCTATTCTCACCCGGTGCGTGTTCACCAAATTTTGCATTCACCCTAAACCACAGAATTCTGCACTGTGATAACAGAAAAATTGTAGAATTCTGTGCCGTGAACAAACGTTCCATTACAACTGTAGCCTACTAAAAGCGTACAATTTTGTCTGTGGGCAGTGGAGAGAGAGAGAGAAAGAGAGAGAGGAGTAGCGCGAGAATTTCCGGGCAAAACAAAATGGCGACCCGCGTAGTTCGGCTCGATTCGAAAAGTTAAATAGCCGTAGCATCTTTGTAGACAACCAAATCAATTTACTTTTGTGTTTTAACATCATTTTTTAACTTTGTTTTGGTTAATTTGATCGTCCACACCGATAGACAGTATTCAGAAAGAGACAGAGAGAGAGAGAAGAGGGGAGGAGTTGATCTTGCGAGAACTTCCGGGCGGGTGAGAATAGCCACTTTCATTTTTTGGTGTGTTGTACTTTGTTACTTTGTAAACAAATGCCAATTCAATGACAAACTATCAACATTATTTCATTAAACAGCTTTCAGTTAAGGCTATTATTCTTTAAAACATAGATCTACTACTCTGGCAAGTGAATTCCTTTCTGAATGGATATTATTCTCACCATAATTTTATTTTCACCCCGGGGGTGAGAATAACGACAGCCCTCAAGTTTATTTTCCCGAGCGTTCGGAGAAAATACAGCCGGCCAAATAAAATACTAACCCTTCTCCTAGCCGCTGTCTTATGAAAAATCTCCGGTCATCTATGGACAGAGACTCTTTACCACACATGCAACCCATTGTGGATGCGACACAAAAGTAAATAAAAGGTTATAAACTTCAATAAATATAACAAGAATCACAACAGAATATGAAGTCTCAAATTCTGCTGTCGTGGAAGAAGCTCTGCTTCGAAGCCATTGATTGATACAATAACCATTGAGAGTCACTTCCCTTTATAGTAGCTCTTTGAGTGGTGGGCGAGGAGCACAGAATAGAATTCTGTGGCGAGGAGTCGCAATGTTATCTCTTTGCCTTCTTATGAGTTTTCGTATTGTTGTTTCCTTCGTTTTAATTATCTTTCACTAACAATGATGGTTGCAGCAGCATTGGTGCATACCTTTATTTATCGCATTATAACTAGATATCTAGTATGCAAACCCTTGACGAAACCGTGGGCGAAGTAAGAAAGAATTTGAAAGACTGCTGGTTAAATTTAAAAAAAAACTGAAGTGAGAAATCTTATTCTCAAATTATGGCCTCAATATAATAATATATAAGTAGGCCTAATCCTTGCTGTCATTTCTATGCAAGTAAAAATGAGTCATCATGCGAGAAGTGATACATGTACATAATCTAAGAGAGTAAGTATTTAGAAGCTGTTTGTGTACTGGATTATCCTGAAAAAATAGAAACATCTCAATGACAACACAAATTAAAATTCTGAAATGCTATGTATGGTCGTTACCCCTTCTATAGGCCTATATATTATGACTGTGAATGCTTGGTAACCACTAATAAAGACACAGTGAAAATAGAATAGAAGCAATAGAATGTGGCTTCGAAGGAGACTGCTGAGAATGCCGAGGTAGGAAAAGAAATCAAATGAGGTAGTGCTTGATGAAGCCCACGGGGACGTTCACTGTTAAAAACAACCAGGAAACGAAAAATGCAGTTTTGGGACACTTGAATAGACACATAATGATAAAGGTCTTTTCTAACGGGGAAAGATCAGGGATTGTAGCTTTTTTTTTAAAGCATCCGAACAAAGGAATGATCGCCGATGTCTTCCGCAGATCTGGCACTGGATATGATGATGATGCACTGGATTTTAAACAATATTATTTTTAAAATTTATTTTTAGGGGGGGCGCAGAGTTCCCAAAACATAAATGATATAATATGCAGAAAAACAAAACGTGTTTACGGCCTCTTGTCGAGGGCACAGTCCGTAGATCTAAGTAAGAGACCACCTGCCACAACTAAACTAACTACACAGACACAAACACACACACACACACACACACACACACACACACACACACACACACACACACACACACACACACATACACACACAAATGAGGAAGTCTGCAGTTTTGGAGATAATGCTGCCAAGGTACTTATTGATTAATCCATTAATTTCTGCAAGAGGTTTTCCATAAAGAGGAATGTGAGTATTTTCCGGTGATGATAATCAACACTTGCAATTTTATTACAAGGTCATCTTTTTTTTTAGAAGCTCTTGCTAATTCATTTGCTTTTAATTGCATTTCCTGTAGGCTACTGTTGTGGTGTTAAATAGGCAGTCATTCGCAATCTCTTAAATAGGCTATGTGCCATTTGTCCATTCAAAGTCTGTTTCGGTGTCTTTGCTCTGTCTCTTTACAATATCGATTACAATTCCCAAAAGTACAGGTGATAATATACAGCTTTGCCCAACTCCAGTTATATATTATATCTTACCTCATAAGATGTAGATTCTGCAATTCTCGTAGAACGAGCACACAGCAGCGTGTACGTTTCAGAGACAAGTAAAGTTTTAAGAGACGTGTTGTTAGCCCATCGTCATTCACCGCAGGAAAATCCTAATAAGCTTCCGTAGCTGCTGGAGGAGACAAAGCACCACTGTGTGGTGGCAATTTTGGATAAAACATCCTCATCTTTTCTGCCCTTTGCTGTTGGAGAAAAATAAATCTCTTATCCACCGAGTGCCTAGACATCCTCACTATTTGACTCATACCTCAAGCCTAGGTAAGAGGTTATGGGAGCCTCAATTCGCCCGATGACCACTTTGAGGGACATATTGAGGCATTAATAAATAATAGTAGCAGAACCACCAAAACTCAAAACCAAAACTCCTCCCCCCCCCCCCCCCCCCCCCCGTAATCATACCCTGTTGGTCCGCGGATGCTTATTTGGACACGCAGCTGCAGCTGATCCCCATATCTGGAAGCCGTCCGCTATCCGCCACCTTTGACGCGCTGGTTTGGGGGTGATCATAAGCAAAGGCAAAAAGATCAAACAAGTTTAACAGTTTAAAATGCTTCATTACATTCGATATACCAAACGTTCCACATAAATAAAATGAAGAATTACAACAGCTGGAGATAATTTCAATAAATGATTCCAGTCCTGAAAAATCGAAACACCCGAATGACATTCAAAATAAGATTCTAAAAAAAACTGTGTGGCTTCAATCCTTCTGAACAGCTGTGAATGCCGGAGACCAAAGATAGCATAGAAACTACATAAGTATGATTTCTTAAGAAACTACAGAATGACTGAAAAGAAATCAAATATTCCTGAAAGAAGCTCACGAATAAAAGCAATTGGGAAGGTCAGTGCAGTTTCCTGAATACTTGACATAAAGACCAGAACATCATGCTCTCACTGGGAAAAAAAATAGAATCTAGGGCTAAGAAGTCAGAAGTAGACAAAGAGCAGGTTATAAGCCGTAGACTAGTTAGAAAACCTGAACAGATATTGATGGGAAGCGGCAGGGACAAAGCAGCTGTTTTTAAAAAAAGAAATAAATGGTGGACCACGGTCGCCTATACTATTTTTTTAACACTTAGAAGTCGACATGTCTTCTGACTAGATGCTGCATTATTTTTGTTTTGTGTTCCTAATTAGATCTAATTAGAAATGTCTACTTGCATAGACTACTACATTTATTGTATCCCCACATTAACATATCTTTATTCGTTTCTTAAAATGTACAGATTTGATAATACTTGCTTGTAGCTTGAAGCCTACATTATTATGCTGAAAATGCTAACGTTCACAAGTTAAAACTTTTAATTAAACATGCTGTCAAAAAATAGGAAATGGGCTTTAGACTTGCAGCCGTAGGCCCCTTTGTTTCCAACTACAATTTGAAACGTTTTCAACTCAAATTTATTTATCTGCTGGCAGATGACTCATTCTTCAGGTGCATCAGCGTCAGAAAACAGCTGTTTACTGGACAATTTCATAAGAATTTCATAAGATCTGGGTTTGGGAAGGGAGTGGGGTGGGGGGTGGGGGCATTTTCGCCAAGCCTTCGTTTTAAAACGGTCATTTAAACATTTTGATACTCAACGTAATGTAACCCTTTCACCCCTCCAAATATTATTCGTTTATGCTACGATCTGGTCGTGGGGGTTTCAGAGAAAGCCCCGTGCACGAAGCTGCAAAACCTATTACTTCAAGAAGGCTGCGTAACTACTTTGGTGTTATATGAGGTACATTAATCCTCAGTTATTTCCCTTGATACATATGTGGCATAATAACTTGAACTGATGAGAGTACATACGCGTCTATAGCCGACCC